TCAAGTTTGCAGATGACACCAAATTGGGAGGGATAGCCAATACTCCAGAGGACAGGAGCAGGATTCAAAACGATCTTGACAGATTAGAGAGATGGGCCAAAACTAACAAAATGAAGTTCAACAGGGACAAATGCAAGATACTCCACTTTGGCAGGAAAAACGAAATGCAAAGATACAGAATGGGGGATGCCTGGCTCGAGAGCAGTACGTGTGAAAAAGATCTTGGAGTCCTCATGGACAACAAGTTAAACATGAGCCAACAATGGGATGTGGCGGTAAAAAAAGACAATGGGATTTTGGCCTGCATCAATAGGAGCATAGTGTCTAGATCTAGGGAAGTCATGCTACCCCTCTATCCTGCTTTGGTTAGACCACACCTGGAATATTGTGTCCAATTCTGGGCACCACAATTCAAGAGAGATATTGACAAGCTGGAATGTGTCCAGAGGAGGGCGACTAAAATGATCAAGGGTCTGGAGAACAAGCCCTATGAGGAGCGGCTTAAGGAGCTGGGCATGTTTAGCCTGAAGAAGAGAAGGCTGAGAGGGGATATGATAGCCATGTATAAATATGTGAGAGGAAGCACAGGGAGGAGGGAGCAAGCTTGTTTTCTGCTTCCCTGGAGACTAGGACGGAACAATGGCTTCAAACTACAAGAGAGGAGATTCCATCTGAACATGAGGAAGAACTTCCTGACTGTGAGAGCTGTTCAGCAGTGGAACTCTCTGCCCGGAGTGTGGTGGAGGCTCCTTCTTTGGAAGCTTTTAAACAGAGAGGCTGGATGGCCATCTGTCAGGGGTGATTTGAATGCAATATTCCTGCTTCTTGGCAGGGGGTTGGACTGGATGGCTCATGAGGTCTCTTCCAACTCTTTGATTCTATGATTCTATGATTCTAACACCTGCACAGGAAACCTAATTAAGCTAATTGTCCATATCTCCATGACAGAGTAGGATAGGAAAAAAACTGTAAAAGAGGGGGGTAGATTCCTACCTAGCCCTGAAGCGACCACGTCAAGTTACACTGCAAAAGAGAGGAGGAGGAGATAGGAAAAGTGGAAAGAAAACAAAGGAAGAAGCAAAAGAAAGGAAGAACAGAAGAAGATGAAAGGAGAGAAATGTGAAACAACTGATGCTTGCAAATTGGAAAAAGAAAAAGAACAAACTAGAAGAGCTGTTTAAATATAATATTGAATGCCATGTTAGAGAAGGGTGGAGGTTTTCAATCTCTTACTGTGTTCTTTCTTCTTCTTTTTCTCTCTTTTCTTTTTCTTTTTCTCCTTTCCTCACATTTTTATTCCTCCCCTTTCTTTTTCTTTTTCTTTCTTTGCTTCTCTCTTTTCTCCTTTCTCTTTACCCTGAACTCTCTAATATAATATTTGTGATTTTATCATTGTATATTTGAAAACTCAATAAAATTATTTTTTTAAAAAAAAGTTACATTGCAAAAGGAGGTAGGGGGGTGGGCCAAAAAGATTCAAAGACGCAGATAGGGGTGTGTAACTGTCTCATATAAGCAAACAAAGCCACATCCATCACACCATGGCCTGATCAGGAAAATTATTGTCTGGCTTCACCCCTGGGTGCCAGCAAATTAATTACCCAACTTCCACTGCTTTACAGTGTGATAAAAGGGTTTCTAAAAGGATTATGTTGCCCAAACTTCATATTTGGTCTTGTGGATGTTTCATACATTGATACTGTAGCTTGACTTCAGTCATCTAAAAAAAGTATGAGCGAAACCGGCTACTTGGGGCTCTTTCAGACTACACACTTAGAGCACCAGTTGTTCACTGTTTATTGTCCAGGCTATGAATGTTGTCATATGAAAGAGGCAAATAGACATTGAAACATGATGAACATGCTTTTGCCAGTCAGCCCCCTCCCTGTGATTAACACATCCTCAGAAATTGACAGGAAAAAATCCATCAATAGCTGACAATTGCGCTATGTTTTCCATCCGCTACTGGGTGCACTGACAGATAGTCAGGGGCTGATTTCCCTCCTCTCCTTTCCCTTCAATATTCCCAAGGCAATAATTTCTTGATTTTCAGTTGTATTTAAATTTAAAATTAACCATACCTGCATTTGCAAAATTATTTTCAAAAATTATAGAGCAGCAGAACTGAGGGTAGGGTTGCAAGGATGCTAATGTTGATATGTATTTGCTGTCTGTGATTTCCATAACTGCTGAGGACTAGTAGCTTCATGTGATAAAATAATTTATGACTTCACCATCAATTTTAGTCTTATTTTCCTTGTCTTCTCTTCATATGGCAATTTTAATAAAAGTATTGCCTGATGCTGGGTGCCACAGTTTTAAAATATTTTCCCAGCAGGTGGCAGGAGTGGGACAATGATGTACATTTTAACTATTTTAAAGAACCCGTGACTTTTCAAGATTTATATTTACATATTTAGCAATGAGAATAATGGAATTTATGATGAACTGAGTTCAGGATAGATATGCAGATATAGATATTCTATTTCTCATCTTCTGAGACTTCCACTGCTAATAACAGAAAGCAACTGGAAGAGAAATTATGACATCCAGTGGTGAATAGTGGAAAGTGTTAACATAGTATTTTAATAGTACCGCACATTGCATTGTAGATTCATAATGGCAAATTTAGCATTGTCAAATTCTTGGAATAGATTTACATTTTGAATCTATATGTACATTCATTAACTTAAAGATATATCCAGCCAAATCCAATATTACACTGGTGTTTGTCACATAAATTGCTCCTCCCTACAGCCTTCTGAAAATCAACACTGGAGTACTTTACAATGCTTTAGGGTCAGGGAACAGTTGTAAAAGAGAGATCCCACACAATCTCTCATTCTGCTGGTGAAAATGCAGAGTTAAATAATGTCCTGTGAGGTTCTCAACCTGTGGGTCACCAGGTGTTTTTGCCTACAACTACTAGAAATCCCAGCCAGTTTTTACCAGCTGTTAGGATTTCTGGGAGTTGAAGGGCAAAATATCTGGGGACCCACAAATTGAGAACCACTGGGTTAACTGATTCTTTCAGGCTGCGTTGCACCCTCCCAAAGCCATCCCAGCATTAGCTGGAATGAGACAGCCACCTCAGACAGACTTTGGGTAGTATGAAAGAACAAGAAATTGTTAGCTTTTCAATTTAGTGTTATTTATATTGTCTTTGAAAAGGAGGAGCTACATGTGGGATTACAGACAGTTCCCAAATTACAAAATCTGATTTACATATGACTTCTAGTTAAAAACTGGGGTTAGACAACAGGAAGTGAGAGGAAATCTATCCTTAGGATGGGAAATTCTTCACCCCTGTAAAAGTTATCATGGAAAAAGGAGTCCATGCTAAAGTTTTATCACCAATCCTGTTTCCACAACAACCAATTGTCACAGGGACAGAAAGTAAGGTGAAATCTTCTGACCAACAACACAGATAGCAAAACAAACATTACACAGATGTTAGCCCTTCTCTATGCTATAAAAACTTTTAAAAAATGGCTGCAGTCAAACATTAATTTGTATATAAGTTCCAACTAACACACCATTTCAACTTAAGAACAAGCCTACAGAACCTATCTTGTTCATAACCCAGGAACACATCTAGTTCTTGAGATTCACAAACTTTTAGCCTCTGCTTATCTGAGAAACCATGAAAATGGGAACTTTATAAAGATTTTTCTGACCTAGCGGAGAGGAAATGAGTGTTTTCAGTGAGGCAACTATGGGCAAAAGAAGTCTATGAAGCAAACCCACAGTATTCTTCCTAATTTGTTATTTCTGGTAATTTCCTTTTTTGCATTTCCTCAAACAGCTGAAAAATGTTGACACATAAATAGAATTTCCTGTAAAATATGCAGTACCCCATTTTCCTACCCACAAAGTAATAGTCCCTGTCCTCCTTCTCATTTAACTCATTGTCATCTTTGTCTATCTCAATAAACAAACAGGTTTGTTCACAGTTGTGATTCCGGCAGTGCATCTACATTTGCCCCAGTATGGGTCACACAGGGACTCCCCAGTTACTGCATAGATGAGAAGGAGCATCAACTGCTCAGTGGCACAAAACATGGTTCAGCACTTCTAAATATGCCTTTAATTATCTTGAATATGAACCAGTCATGGACAGGTATTGATTGGATTATAACATTTCTATATGATAATGTTTTGTTGTTCATTCGTTCAGTCGTCTCTGACTCTTCGTGACCTCACGGACCAGCCCACGCCAGAGTTCCCTGTCGGCTGTCACCACCCCCAGCTTCTTCAAGGTCAGTCCAGTCACTTCAAGGATGCCATCTATCCATCTTGCCCTTGGTCGGCCCCTCTTCCTTTTACCTTCCACTTTCCCCAGCATAATTGTCTTCTCCAGGCTTTGCTGTCTCCTCATGATGTGGCCAAAGTACTTCAACTTTGTCTCTAGTATCCTTCCCTCCAATGAGCAGTCGGGCTTTATTTCCTGAAGGATGAACTGGTTGGATCTTCTCGCAGTCCAAGGCACTCTCGGAACTTTCCTCCAACACCACAGTTCAAAAGCATCTATCTTCCTTTGCTCAGCCTTCCCTAAGGTCCAGCTCTCACATCCGTAGGTTACTACAGGGAATACCATGGCTTTGACTATGCGGATCTTTGTTGACAGTGTGATGTCTCTACTCTTTACTATTTTATCGAGATTGGACATTGCTCTCCTCCCAAGAAGTAATCGCCTTCTGATTTCCTGGCCACAGTCTGCATCTGCAGTAATCTTAGCACCTAGAAATACAAAGTCTTTACTATATATTTATTTATTTAGCTAATTTGTGTTCAATCACAATTAAAACAGAATATGCATTGGAAGACATAAAAATGTGTAGATGACTTGTTTTGCTAAATGTGGATAAATAAAATTGGATGCAGGGGATGTACTGCATTTCTAAAAGAGAAGAAAGCACTTCTTTATTATTTTTTTCCTGCACCAAGTAGAATTGGAAGTGAAAAGGGGAACTATAAGTAAGACAAAAGCAACACTCCTTATGACACAGACATAAGATTTCACAGAAGAAGAGTACTTGAAAACTTCAACTGCTGCCATTAATCTCAGTTTTCAGCTTTCTTTCAATCCTGGTGGGGGCAGAATAAGGTAAGGTGAACTACCCAGCAGCAGATGACCTGGGGACACCCCAAAATATTAGCTATGTTGATGGAATAGAAGAGAATCAGTAAAATACTCCTAAATGTCAATTAACTATGCCATTCAAGGGCAGTTCCAGACAGTGAAAAAGGCCATGCCAACCCGGATTTTAATAACCCAGGTTAGGGCAGACAGTAGCCTGCACTCTGCCCCAAAAACCCATGCTTTCTGGGAGAACAGGGAGACAGCTCCCACCCCCCACCCCCTATCCAGGAGAAGTGGGGACCAGGGGTGAATTTTCTCTGCCCTCTGCTTCTTTAGGGACATCATTCCTAAGCACCAGGGGAGGGCTGGCAGTACAGAAATGCCAGCTGAATAAGTTATTTTCTTGTTTAAAGGATTTTTAAAGGGGTTTGAGGCCATAGTGGGGTTTTTTTCATGTCAGGAGTGACTTAAGAAACTGCAAGTCACTTCTGCTGTGAGAAAATTGGTTTTCTACAAGGACATTTTCCAGGGGACACCCGGATGTTTTACCATCCTGTGGGAGGCTTCTCTCATGTCCCCACTTGGGAAGCTGGAGCTGACAAATGGGAGCTCAACCTGCTCCCCGGATTCTAACCACCGACCTTTCAATCAGCAGTTCAGCCAGCACAAGGGTTTAAACCATTTCACCACTGGGGTTCCACAATAAGCCATAATAATTTCCCGTAAATAGATTTTTTTTCACTGCTCTGTTGCTCCCATGGGTAGAATCCTTGATTTATTCTTATCAGTGAGCTTTAACCCTGTATAAAATGTGTCTTAACTTTTGAGAAACTTGTTTACCAGAAATCTCACCAACTTTTATCTTTGTGAAGCAACAAAAGACTAAGTTATTCATTCTAGCATGAGTTTTTAGAACTTTAGCTGGCCAAGGTAAAATGAAACCCAGTGCATTGTTTTTAATATCAAGTCCCTCTTCATTTTTATTAACCAAGTGGAATTTCAACCATTTTTGTTTTTTCTTTTTCTGAGGTTGGTGGTCTGCATCTTCTCTCTGTGTGTCAGTCCGTATTGAGCAAGAAAATTAGCAATTCACATATCCCAATAACACACACACACACACATATATAGTATGTTGTACAGAACATATCGACTGTGCGCTGATATGCAGTTGGTGTAGTCTCTAGTCCTTATAGAGTCAGTGGTATTGTGTCAACTGCTAAAACATTAAATAAAAATAAATAACAATAATGAAGATAACATTTATTTTTATATTTCTGCTTTGCTTTCATTTGTGCAGAGCCCCCACTTCACCTCACCCCTCCTATTACACATGCTAAAACAAAAAATAGAGAAGATCTTCATCACAAAGTAGAAAATCAATTCATGAGGAAACTGAAATTCAGGGACATTTCCATGATGTGACCTGGAATTGATAGATTTGGGCATGTTTACTCTGACCTGTATTTATAGGTTGGCAAAATTAAAGGCCTATCTATATTGGTCCAAATTGGGCAAGAAGTCATTCCTGGATGTCCACATAACATTCAGAGTCTTCCAGTCCCTAACATTGGATAAACCAGTTAGTCCAGTTTTACCCCTCTTTAGTAGAAATTGAGGGATTATCTTGGGTTGTTGTGGATACCTGGACCAGTTCTAATCCCATCACTTTTGATTCTATAGCATTGAGCCATGGCAGTTAAAGAGCTGTCAAACTGCATTAAGTTTATAGTGTAAATGTATCCTAAGGTGTACAAGGGTGCTGCAAAATAATGGTGGAAAGGCAATCAAAACTTAGAGCCATTTTATCATATGTGGTGAACTTGTGATAAGGCAAAGAAGGAGTGGACTCAGATCCACAAGATGCTGGAGGATATTTTAAAACAAAAATTACAAATGAGGCTTGAAATTTATTTGTTGGATATGATAAATGAGCAGTTGGAGAAGAAGCATGGAAGAATCCTCCAATATTATTGCTAAACTACCATATTTACTCAAGTCGAATGCTCACCTTTTTTGGCTAAATTACATCTCAACAACTGAGATGCACATTAGATTTGATGGAGCATTAGAATCATGCACCCAAACCCATCTGTGGTGTTGGGCAAGAGGTCCAAGCTTGATACATAGGAGGGAGATGTAGTAGTGCCGTAAAAAGGCTGGTAGGAAGCCAGGGCCCCCCACTTGGCCTTCCCACCAGCCTTTTTGCCCATCACCACCGCCTCAAATTATTTATTTTATTTATTTATTTGCTTTATTTCTATACCGCATTTTTCAGCCCTTAACAGGCGACTCAATGCGGTTTACATGGTACAATTATCAAACAGTGTCAGTGCAATTAAAACATAACAACGCAACAAACAGGATCAACAGCATCAATCCACAACAGTTAACAATCAACAAGACAGATCAACAAAACAGACATAACATAACGCCTTAGTTGAAATCAGATCCGTTCTCATAATCCTTGTGCCATTCCTATGTTCCATTTACCGTCTTCCTATGATTGGTTGCACTGCTTAACCAAACGCTTGTTCATAAAGCCAGGTCTTAACCATTCTCCGAAACGTCAGCAACGAAGGTGCCTGTCTGATGTATGCCGGTAGGGCATTCCATAGCCGAGGGGCCTTCAAAATTGTGGTGCACATTACACTTGATGGCACATTATACTAAAAAACATATGGTATTATATGCCCAGAGATGTGTCTATTGATGGTAAAATCAATTTCAGTTCTAAAATAATTTTATCTGATAATTTATTAATGTACTGATGTTTGAGGTATCCTGAGACACCTTGTCATTTATATTGTAACATTCTAAGATAGCTAATCCTCTGAAAAGAACACTGTGAAGCAACAGATGAACGCAACAATTATAGAACAATGAATCTCATTCCTGTTTATAAAAGTCCTTCATTTCAGGTCTTCTTTAAGGAAATGTTCAATGCTAAAAGGAGATGTGGCTGATAATGAAACAAAGAACAGAAAATGAAGGACTCTTAAAAACATGAAGCAGAACACTGGAATTGTAACACAGTATGTACAAACAATGCAAATGTTGAAATGCTGATTTGTCCAAGTCCCATGATCTCCCCCCACCCTTGCTCCCGCCCCCTCGCCCTTTAGCAGAAAAGTCCCAAATTGTTTTAGATTACTTATCAAAAATAAGATGGAAATCTTCTACTCATGCCCTTTGCCACCTAAGTGGATGTCAGGAGACATCAAAATTCTCTGTGGAATTCTTGATATCAAAAAGTTGACATGGGTATCAAAGAGTCAGGGCCATATGCTGCTAGATATTCAGGAGGAAAATTGATTTGCATAAAGGGGTTGTCTACATGGGTGAAAAGAATGTACTCACCTCATATCCAGTGCTGCATAGCACATGATACTCACAAAAAAATTCTAATTCAACTCTCTTCTATCCACAAGAGCTTAAATCTTGAATTTAAAAGATTGATCTTTTATAATAAAAAATAATTAATAAAACTATATATGTTTGTTTGTTTGTTTGTTTGTTTTAGCCCACACTTTTCTAGAAAATCCAGGTTATTTTACATGTGCTTGTGGGCCAAATCAGCCAGAAGTAGGATTTTGGTGGGGAAGTTCCCTGATCCTTCCTGCCACTGAACGCTATTTATTTCTGATTTCCCAGCATGTATCACCTTAATTTTTTTAAATGCATTTCTGCAGGTACAGTTGCCATTATTTTTTGAAGGTGCATTTGTGCGGATAATAGTGGTATTAGTGCACTTCTGTCTATCAACCTTTAAACACCAACCACTTTACTTTACTTAATAGGATGGCCAATGTCTTATTGAGGCATGTGTAAAAAATGCATATGCCAATTCACATGCATAAGGTGGAAAAACCCAGAATGACTATGGCCATGAGGCCAGAAATAATGCAAAGTATAACACATGTGATCATTGCAGGAGTGCCTTTTAACAACAAAGTGAATTCCCAAAAAGAAAATCTGTGGTTGGTAATACTGCTCTCACTTCAATATGTGTGGCATTAATGCAATCGCTATGGATTAGGAAAATGCAAGTGTAAACAACATCTCAGAGTCTGAGAAGGCAATGCCATTGACAAAAGAAATATTTGACTCAGTCCAAGTTATAAGAGACCATAAGCCAAGATCCAGGAGCTAATTGCAATAGTGATAGTCCCAAGTGGCTCTAGCACTAGGATAGACCATGAATTCTATAATTCCTGGGCTCATTCACTGAAGTCACCAACAGACCTGGTATGAACTCTTAGGATGCTTCTAGACAGCACCAAATTGCAGGCGCAAAAAAATCCCCGGACCTGAGAAGAGGTCCACATGCAGACCTGTTGGTCCCAGGATTTCTTCCTCCATTAGCCACACTTGCTGCTCCTGGGTTATACATGTCTGTTCCTCATTGCTTTTATCATAAAAACATGGGGAAAGTTAACTACATGGCAAAATCTTTGTTAGTGTGTTAAAAAACTTGATTAAACATGTGGAGGACAAAGTTTCTCTTGCCAAGAGAAAGTTTTTGCCCTCTAGTCAACTGTTGTCATGTTTTTAGGATACAACCAATCAGGAACCGATATGTATAACCAAGAAACAATCCAACATAAAAAAAATCCCTTATTTTCTGAGTGTATGGATGTAATGAGAGGGGGGAGAGAGGGGAGGGAATCTATTACGTGAGGAGGATCACCATTAGTTTGGAGATCCCACCGCTGTGTCACCAATGGTAATAAAGTACTTATTTAAAACAACTTTAATGTTTGGAGGCTGCAGAAACTTTGCCCCCAACACACTGCACTCTGAGGTAATTTACTGTGACAACTGGCTATCATCACGCTTAAAAGGAATGTTCAGCTTTTGGTTTGGCAAGAGGTTTTGAGTAGGCTGGAATGTGCTGGATTCGCACTCAGGGCTCAGAACACTGAGGTAAATAACAATGAGATTCTTCTAAAAATGTCACTGCCACCAATCTGGAAACTCTGATCCCCTATCTTGCTAAGAATACTTCTTTATATAGAGGCTCACTGAGACAGTTGTTGATGAACAAAGAACCAAGTTTTTTATTTGTGTGAACTTTAACAATACAGGCACTTAAGCATAATGGTTGCAATAAAGAAAGATGAAGCTTATGGTTACTTTAATAACAGTTCAAGGCTTAGTTCCAAAAACAACTATTCACTCCCTCAGGAACCTAGCAGACTTCCCTCTGACTAGAATTCCTAAAACTTCAGACAGTCCTTTCCCTTGGATCTGTCTATTCTCTATACCAGCTATTCTACCTAATAGCTATCAATCTTCTCTAACTAACCACTTTGGCTACTCTAACTTCTCTTCACCTAACTCTCCCAAAACCTAACTTTCTTCTTCAACACACAGACCCTGACTAAACTGTCAAATTTTAAAATGTACCCTTTCAGGCAATTTTTTTCTGCACTGTCACTAAGCTCTGCCCACTTTCTCCCAGCCAATCACAAAGGTTCTCCACATTTCCCTCCAGGCTGCTCCTAAGCTCCACCTCCTCTAGGAAATGAGTACTCTAAGATGGCTGCTTCCCTGCACCATCTCATAAAATGGCTGCCGAAATACTTGGGCCTACTTCCTGAGTTTTTCCCTGGCCTAAAAGGTAGGCAATTCATCACAAGGGACATAACAGAGATTCGAATATCTGCATTTTCCGGCCAGAACAGGGATATTCCCGCACCTGAAAATCTCGCATTTTTTGGCCTTTGTAGTTATTGCTCCCAAGTTTTCAGGGGGCATCATTTGGCCACCCTCCATTTTGAAGCCTGAGCTTCTGGGATAAAGGTATTGTCCAGACAGGCCCTTAAAAACAGGAAGGAGTGCTAGGTTTCAAGCCAGTCAAGTTCTGACTTCCAAGTCTGCATAAGGGGTTGAAGCTGGGAGAGGTGATCTGACTACTTCTCCCTGGAATAAAATGCCTCTTTGAGCTGCAGACCTATTTTGGTGAGTAGATCACTCAGTTCTCTGTCAAAAGCTGAGGTGTGCAGTCTGCATGAATCCTTATAGAGCTCTCACCACTGTCCTATACAAGGTATCAATCAAAGAGGAAAGTGACCATAATCAGATGCCATCTGTCTCACTGGAAGCGAAGGAGTTCCCCACTATCATTTGGGTTCCCTCATGTACAATCTATATTTTGTCAAGCTAATATTAGCTTAGTTGTCATAGTCTTTCCTAAGAACTCTCTAGATTGTCATTTAGGTTTATTACAAATAGGTGATTTACAACCCAGTTTATATATTATGTTGTAAATTAATACTACTGCTAGTTCAGTATTACATACATAGCAGAAACCATATATATATATATATAGAGAGAGAGAGAGAGAGAGAGAGAGAGAGCAAGCTACATAAGCATTGTGAAGATCACATTTTACTAAAAATGACTAACTCTTCTTTTTAATTTCATTTTAGGGTTTATTATTGACCATTATAAAGAAAAAATGGCAGCCAATCTACAGCGCATTCATATAATTTGGCTCATTGTGTTATGCTCCATATTGCACTTTGCTTTTCCACAGGAAAATGGTATGTATATATGTGTGTGTGTGTGTGTCTGTATGTGTTTTCAAATGATGGTGATCCCATGAATTTCATTGGGTATTCTTTGGCAAATAATACTTGGGAGGGTTTAAGAAGACCTCAAGGTGTGAAAAAGATTGTTCCAAGAATAATATGTTTCTGTTTGTTTAAACAATGGAAATGCAATGAGACAACAGAATGATGTAATGAAGTCCTCACTGTATGAAATCAGGGGAAAAGATTTTATGGATCACTTTAACACTCTTTCCAGATTGTCTCCTTTTTACAAGCTATGTTTTATCTCACCTTCATGGTGAAATGCTTTTGAAGTCCTGGTCAACATTTCAATAACTCCATATTGGAAGTTAACATCCTGACACTTTTAAAAGGTTCAGTATGAAGCTAGGTTTTTTTTTTAATTGCATCTTATTTCTGAACTCTGCTGAGATGTTTTGGATCAGCCTCAGCCCTTCAGCACATGACATCATTGCTAAGCATGATCATATAATTTGCTTTTTATATTTATTTCCAGGTACCGACAGAACATCAGCGCAAAATTTTTCCTGTGTTGTTAAATCATACATATTCAAGGGTCCTTCTATGAATTGCACTTGGAAGGCTGGCAAAGAAGCTCCAAAAGACACCCAGTATTTTCTTTGGTTAAAATATAACACGTAATTCACATTCGTTACTTATATTGAGAAGGAGTGGTTTAAAATAAGCTGTAGTTTTCTTTTTAAAATGAAACACTTTGGTATATGGGGCAGAAACGGCTTTGGTCGTCTTGGTGGATGATCTGCAGGGGGAACTGGGCAGGGGGACCCTGCTGATCTTCCTAGACCTCTCAGCAGCAGGCATGTAGCCGGGGGGGGGGGGGCTTTGGGGGCTTCAGCCCCCCCCCCCGAAATTCTCATGGTGGTCCGCGAGAAGGCCTTACTGGTACATTATTTAAACTGTTATGTTTATTCATATCATGATCTGATCACCATGCTCAATATACAAAAGGTTTGCTAGAGTAGACCCTCTTTCACTCAGACTCAGCCCCCCCCCCCCCCCCCAATCAAACTCATCCCCCCCCCCCCGAAACAAAATCCTGGCTACAGGCCTGCTCAGCGGCATTCATTACCATCAACCATGGTATCCTTCTGGAGAGACAGGCAGGAATGGGACTTAGGGGAACTGTATTGCAGTGGTTCCAATTCTTCCTCTCCAGTCATCTCCAAAAGGTGGTGTTGGGAGAAACCTGCACAACCCCATGGCCTGTGGAGTGTGGGGTCCCGCAGGGCTAATCATTATTCTTGATGTTGTTCCGCACTTGAACCATTGCCTGAGGGCAGTAATGGACAAATTGAAGCTTAATACAGATAACTCTTACTTTAAAAAGGTCTCATGCAAGGTGGATCTGGAAATAGAGTTACAACTTGAGCTGGACAGGATTACACTTCCCCTGAAATCTCAGATTTGCAGTTTGGGGGTGGTCCTGGACTCTGCCTTAAATCTGGAAGCCCAGGCGGCAGAGGTGACAATACTTTTTTTGCACAACTAAATTTGTTTGCCAACTTCACCCATTCCTGGAGAAATTTGACTTGGCCATGATAGTACATACACTGTTTGCATCCTGGTTGGACTACTGCAACACACTCTACATGTGATTGCCTTGAAAGTGTCCGGAAACTGCAATTGGTTCAGCTCACAGCAGCCAGACTGCTCATTGAGGCTGACTCCAAGAACACACCACCCCTCTGCTAAGACAGCTCCACTGGCTTCCGATTGCCTTCTGGGCCCAATTTAAGGTGCTATTTTTAACCTGTAAAGCCCTACACGGTTTCAGTCCAGGATACTTGAGACATTATGTACTACCATATAACACAGGTAGATTAAGATCAAGTAGTGAAACACTCCTATCGACTCAGCGTAGGGACAGCCAGCTGTCATTTAAAATAGGCTAGAGATGGCACATTCTCAGGCATGGCACAAAAACTTTTGAATGCTTTTGCAGAAGCAATAAGAGCAGTTCCCACCCTTTTGGTTTTTAGGAAAAACTTGAAAACTTTCCTGCGTGGAATAGTTTTTTAACTAAGGTGACAGAAACCTAGGACCTGCACATTATAATTATATTTTACCTTCTTGGGCATTTAAGAGTGCTTTTAATCATTTTTGTTAATTTTATGACCAACAAGGACTGACTTGGGATTATTATAATGGGTTATTTATACCGTTACTAACTGTCTCCTGCCACTCGTTGCTATGGCCCAGTCTGTTGATCTGGAAAATAAAGTAATGAGAAAGTGTTGGTTTCTGATATATGTAATTTATTTATGCTTCTGGGTAAACAGTATTTCTTGCTGTTTCTTTGTCAGTGTTGATGTGGAGATTGTCTGGTTTGCCTACTCGGGAACATGCAACATATCATTGTCCTTCTTCAGGGGTCCCTTTGAAATCTATGACACTATACCTGTGTGTGTTTAAATCATATCTATCTATCTATCTATCTATCTATCTATCTATCTATCTATCTATATCTATGCCTGGATGGCTCTTTGTCAGGAGGGTTTGATTACGTTTTCTTGCCCTGTTGAAGGGAGTTGGACTGGATGTAGGATGTTTGCCCAATCAGAATGCTCTTTGATTGTAGGTGAACTATAAATCCCAGTAACTACAACTCCCAAATGTCAAGGTCTATTTCCCCCAAACTCCATCTGTGTTCATATTTGGGCATATGGAATATTCGTGCCAAGTTTGGTCCAGATCCATCATTGTTTGAGTCCATGGTAGTCTCTGGATGTAGGTGAACTACAACTCCCAAACTCAAGGACAATGCTCACCAAACCCTTCTAGTGTTTTCTGTTGGTCATGGGAGTTCTGTATGCCTCGGTTGGTTCAATTCTATCATGCTATTTGATTGTAGGTGAACTATAAATCCCAGCAACTACAACTCCCTATCTCTCTCTCTCTCTCTCTATGGCTGGATGGCTCTTTGTCAGGAGGACTTTGATTACATTTTCCTACCTGATGAAGGGAGTTGGATTGGATGGCCTTAAGTATTTTCTGTTGGTCATGGGGGTTCTGTGTGGGAAGTTTGCCCCAATTCTGTCATTTGTGGGGTTCAGAATGCTCTTTGATTGTAGGTGAACTGTGAATCCCAGTGACTACAACTCCCAAATGTCAAGGTCTATTTCCCACAAACTCCATCTGTGTTCATATTTGGGCGTATTGAGTTGCCCACCAAACCCTTCCAGTATTTTCTGTTGCTCATGGGAGTTCTGTGTGGCAAGTTTGGTTCAATTCCATCATTGATGGAGTTCAGACTGCTCTTTGATTGTAGGTGAACTATAAATCCCAGCAACTACAACTCCCAAATGACAAAATCATAATTTTTTGAGTGATGGTCACTCCTTGTGTTGTGAGATGTTTTATTGCCAAATTTGGTGTGATTTCGTTCATTGGTTCTTTTGTTTTTAAGGTACTCATTATGCACAGAGCATTTACATATATATATAGATGTTTTACCTATTGTTGTAAACTGTCTTGAATCCTTGGGAAAAGGTGATATAGAAATGTCCAAATAAATAAATAAATATACACAGGAAAGAAGAGATAGAATGCCCACATTACATCTGTGATAAACTTGGAAGACATATTGGATGCTATTTTCCCAATGTGACTGTAAATGGAGACCGAGTGGATCTGACGGTGAATGGATCAAGTGAAGAATCACCAATTCAGCCTTCTTCTCATAATCACCAACCATATTTACATGGTAAGAGAGACATGTCAGGACCTTGTTTACTTCTTTCCTCTTTTTTATCACTTCATGACAATAGTTATGAATCATGCAGTTAGAAATGGATTTCTCATAAAAGTTACAAACATGGCAATGGTTTGGAAAAGAGCTCCCATGGGCTACCCATCTCTGATTCTCTAGACTCATCTTTTTGAATTTTCATTGTTTGGCTCTTTTAATTATCTTTGCCTCTTTTGATTATTGAGATGGATAGCTTATGATGGAATTATTAAGTTTAGCACCTGACTGAAGCAGCTACCTCAGGCAGCAGGGTGCCAAACATAACAAGTTGTGTTGCTCCCCCTCTGGACCCTGGCTCCACTAGCAAAACTACACCATCTCAACTTGCCTCCCCACACCCAACACTATGCCATACTTCTCTGGAATGTCTGGTCTCTGTAAATCATTGATGTTCACACAAAGCAGTCAGTGTTATATATGTTTATGGAGAATGAGCAATTTTAATCAAAATATACTGACAATTTCCTTCCAGAAAAACTTGGACCACCAAGAAATTTCACTGTGAATTGCCAAGAACAATCCTCATACTGTACAGTAAAGTGGAAACCCCCTCCAAGCAGTCGTGGTGTTCCAGAACACTGTTTTCGGTACCAAATAAAGGTAACAGATGAAGGTATTTTTAATCACTTTTGATCGTCTTTGAACATCTGATGTGATGTTTGTTTATTTATTTATTTAGAACCTGTATATCCCATCCTATTCTTTTCACCCTAAACACCTTTTTTTTCTGGAGCAAGAAGATTACATTTATTTATTTATTTATTTATTTACAATATTTCTATCCCACCTTTCTTGAACGTGAAGGTGACTTCCGGCGGCTTACAACCAGACAGCAATTCGATGCCTAACAATATACAATTAACATAATTTAAAATACATTCAATAAAACATAAAACCAATGCCTTCATTGTTAGTCTCATCTTCTATAAATTGTTGTCTGAGCTGTTCCAGTGTCCACTTTAGTCTAATTCTGTGTTTGACTGTTACATTAGATTCTGAAGGCTTGTTCAAATAGCCATATTTTAACTTTTTTCTGGAAGGTCAAGAGGGAGGGGGTTGATCTAATATCCCTGGGGGGGGCGTTCCACAACTGAAGGGCCACCACTGAGAAGGTCCTATCTCTCATCCCGCCAGTTGCACTTGCAGAGAATACAGGACCAAAAGCAGGGGCTCCCTGGACAATCTTAAACTCTTATATGGTTCCTAGGAAAAGATATGTTCAGACAGGTAAGCTGGGCCAGAACCATTTAGAGCTTTATAGGCTAAAGCCAGCACTTTGAATTGTGCCCGGTAGCAAACGGCAGCCAGTGGAGCTGGCATAACAGAGGAATTGTATGCCCCCTGAAAGCCACTCCAGTTAGCAATCTGGTTGCTGCCTGTTGGACCATTTGAAGCTTCTGAACAGTCTTCAAAGGCAACTGCATGTAGAGCACGTTGCAGTAGTCTATACGGGATGTAACCCATATATAAAGGTCTATGGGAAAGATTCCACAGACAGAAAGATCACCTGTTGAGTCCAATGGGGTAAAAATAAGTTGTGGATTGGTGGGTTAATAGAAGTAAGTTTGTTACAAGGTAAGAAACTCCTCTGGAGATTTTTAAACAAAGGTTGGATGTCCAACTGTCAGGAGTGCATTGATTGTGTGTTCCTGCATGGCAGAATGGAGTTGGACTGGATGGCCTTGGTGGTCTCTTCCAACTCTACAATTCTAAGTGTGTTTGTTCATGTGTTTCATTTTTGTGTTTACAATATGTATTTTAATAGGTACTTAGTTGTAGTGTTTGTAGTTGTAGTAAGTTAAATGTGGATGTGTAAATTTTAAAACATATAGCATTTAAAATGTTTGCATGTTCTATAATTCTTGTGTAATATAAATATGCACGCACGCACACACACAACACAAAATGTCTAACGACCTCATCAGACAGGACTGAATTTTCCTCTCCAGTTTAGCTATGAAGCCCGCCAGCTCCCATTCCACAGCATACAGCTACTTCTGGCAGGGCTCCATGGCTAAACTAAAGCGAAACTGGTGTTTGCTGCTGTGGGGAGGGGTCACTTCTCCCTGTAAGTCAGGAGATGTGGGGCGTGCAGCAACAGGTTCTGTGGCAATTCCAGTGGCCAACTTGATAAGGTCATAAGACTAATCCTATCTATAGTGAAAGAAGAAAACATTTGGGTGTAGTTAAACAAATCATTTCTCTTTTCCCCCACCTGAGCCACTTGTTCAGTGACTGTGGGGGGGGGGGGGGGGGGGGGGGGGGTTCTAGATTCCTTGATCAAAACAGTATAGAGCTAAATATGTGAAGCTAGAGAAGGTAGAAATAAACATTTTATACGAGAATTCTAACAATATAATTTCACTTGTTTCTTAGGATGAAATCAGAAACACATATCAGAATGTAAGTATTATAACCTCATTCTAAACATGCATGCTTAATTCAGTTATAATGCCTTTCATCATGCGTTTGGCTTACCGATTCATGATTCCATGCTGCCCCATAATTGCTGAATGGTTTAAATTTAAACTATAAAAATGCAATTCAAAACAATGAAAATATAAATACAGCTGAAAAATATTAAGCTTCTGAAAATCAACAAAAATGAATGCAGCAAGACTGGGAAGTGGCCTAAGCAGTCCTTGAAAACTTTTAAGTTGCACAACACTTCAAAACCATTATAAAGTCCTAGAGATTTTTTTATAAGTCTTCACCTAGCATATAGTGACCAGCAGGTGACCTAATCTAGAAAAAAAACTTGACCACCAGAATACGGTCATTTAGTCATGTGTGTTGACAAACATTTTTTTTTAGTTGCAATGGCCAGGAGCTCTCACTGAGCTCTGTGTCTACTTAAGAGCAAAAACGGTGGTTGAGGAGTATAGGGAAAAGATGATGGCACCAAATCCAACTGTCTAGACTACCCCAAAGTTGCAGAATGATCAGAATTTGCTGGAAACTCTGGAGCAGATTTTCTCAAACTGTGCTCCTCCAGATGTTTTGACTCCCATAATTCCTAACAGCTGGTAAACTGGCTGGAATTTCTGGGAGCTAAAGTCCAAAACACCTGGAGGAGAACAGTTTGAGAAACACTGCTCTTGATTATTCCTTGATTTTGCTAGAGGCAGGTTTTGCTAGAGGCCCACCCTGATTTATTCCTTGTCCGTAATTATTTTAATTTTTATTTTATTTTAAACTATTATTTTGCTGTTTGTATTTCATTTGTTTACTGTATTCATTGGGCTTGGCCTCATGTTAGCTGCCCCGAGTACCTGAGGGGAGATGGTGGTGGGGTATAAATAAAGTTTGATGATGATGATGATAAGCAGGTTTTATCTAAAAACCCTGGGATACAAACTAGAAGTAGCAGTGCATCACAAATACAATCTGCTTTCTATTTGTAGTGATCTCAGGATTTTTGGCTTGTGTAGACAAGCCCTTAGGTAAGTTTCAATGTAGCCCTAGGAATGAACACTAGCTTTATCTGTGCCAATGAACTTTGACTACAGCAGACTAAGACTAAGGGTGCAATTCTACACTGTAGAATTAATGTGGTTTGATAACACTTTAACTGCCCCGGTTCAGTGCTATAGAATCATGGGAGTGAGACAGAGAAGGCTAAAGTGCTTGCAAACTACAACTCCTGTGGTTCCATAACATTGAGCCATGGCAGTTAAAGTGGTGTCAAACTGTACCACTCTTCCCTAAAGAAACAAATTTTCAGTTTGCATTAACTTTTGGAACCAAATAATTAGTAACCAAGTGAACCCCTTTCTCTGATCCGCTTTGCAACTAGTCAGAAGCATGTAAATTTTGCCTGCATTAAACTTCAGTTTGTTTGTCCTTGTCCAGTGCATTACGAAAACTGATATTGATAGAGAAACAAAATCTGTTTCTTGGATTTAGATAGAAAAGAGCCATATAATTGGCAGTTATGAGCATATTGTTGGCATTGCACTGAAAAACACGGTTTCAGTATGCATCAATCAGTATGGGGGATGGGGTGAAATCACAGGGTCTCCATGTGACAGTGATCAGGAATTCAACAGGATTCCTCAGACATCACCTTCTAGGGTTGTCTTTCAAGTAAGGAGTGAAACCATTCTTCTTCTTCTTCTTCTACCTCCTCCGCCTCCTCCTCCTCCTCCTCCTCTTTCTTCTGGTACCAGGCCCATAGCCAGGATTTCGTATCGGGGGGGGCTAAAATTTTTTTCAGGGGGGGTTGGGGGGCTGAGTTTCGGGGGGGCTGAGTCTGAGTGAAAGAGGGTCTAGCCTAGCAAACCTTTTGTATCATTACCCCATTACCCCCATGCATATGGGATATATTGAGTATGGTGATCAGATCATGATATGAATAAACATAACAGTTTAAATAATGCACCAGTAAGGCCTTTTCGCGAACCACCATGAGAATTTCGGGGGGGGGGGGGAAGCCCCTCAAGCCCCCCCCCCCCCGGCTACATGCCTGTCTGGTACTGTTCCGTTATCTGGATGGACTCCAAAAGGGGGCTTGGACAGAGAAAGATAACCCATTTGGGGGGGGGGGGTGGTGAAGGAGGAAAACAATTTTCTCCATTTCACCAGTTATCCCTTCCCATTTCTGATATCATGAATGATGATTGTTTCCATGATGGTGACATGAGTGGCAGGAATAACAGGAAAACAGGGGGAAATGGTTTAACTCCTTCAACCCCTCTCCCCCCATTAAATGGACTACCTCTCTCTCTAGCGCCCCCTTGTGGCCTCCGCCCAGATAATGGAATAATACCCTTTTAAAAATAAAAATCCCTCCAAAGCACAGCAAAGCGGGAGGCACTATGATTAATTGCATGCGAAGTGGATGAAAACGCCTGAAAAAAAAATATAAGCACACTTTTCTAACCACTTCCAACGAGGGTCATCTACTAAGACAAGTCCTGAATGGCAAAGGTTCTTATTACTGTGAAATTCTGTTTGTCTTGACACTCAAAATGTGTTTTTCAACTATTTTTAAATATTCTTTCCTACTCTAGTTGCAGATTTGAAACAGAGGAACTAGATTTTATAAAGTATATGTGGATGAGGGCATTAATTAAAAGAGAAAAATTGCACATGAGTGATTCAATGTCCATTGTTATTTTGCCTGAAAAACAATGCAATTTCACTGACAACAACTATAAAGCAGATGTATATTTTTCTTTTAGATAACAGAAGCAGCCTCTTCCAAAAATTACTCCAAGGGTGTAAGACAAAGATTGAGGATTCGTACAATTAAACAAATTACATGTCCCCTTACAGAAGAATTTGGTGAATGGAGTGAACCAATTGAATTTGGTAAGATTTTTTTTTCTGGTTATTTTCAGAATAATTTTGGCTCTGTCATTCCTTCTAACAAAAAAATCACATAGCTGAATGCCCATCAGTTCCAAAATAAATGGGGCTACACAAATGGGATACAAGCTTTAGCTTATTCAGATGAGTTTCATCAGATGCAGTAGTATAAATGTATATAGATTTTTGAAAGGGCAGAGCAGCCTGTCGAGGACTTGTGAGTTTTCATCCTAGCTTGTTTTGTGCCAGAAAAATGGCATGCTAAATCACTGACAAGTTGTAACAGCTATTAATATTTCTAGGTATATGAGCTCGCCAAATAACTTGTGCCACTTTTGGAGGCAATACTTCTAGTTTCACACTATAGCAATTTTCAAAGGAGTAGACATTATTGTAACATTAAAAAGTGTAAAGAGAAAGGAAAATCTTTTTTTAAAAGCCTTTCTAGATTCCAAGATCTATGCTCCTCCTGTTTTCCTTTTGTGCTAAATATAGAATGTCTATTTTGCTGCCGTTTTGCAGGATTTGTGCAGGGAACAGTCAATTGCAGCTATGCTAAATTTCCAAGTTTCCTTATTGCTTTCCACGCAGAACTCTCACCAGTGCTAAACAAATGTTAAATGTTTAGGAAAGGACAGAAAGAGATTAGGACAGGCTTTACTGCTCTTCAGACATTCACTGGAAAGGGTTGGTGGGAGATTTTATTTTTTTACTGCATTTGGCTCAATGAGGTTACAGGGTTGTCACGAATGGGAATCAACCAGAAATATAAATGTGCAGTCTGATACTGGCCCTCTCAGAGCTAGACCCCCCAATTTTTTTGTAACCAAATTATACACTGCTGTCAACTACAGTTTGCTCCTTTAGAGTGCCAGGATTTATGCTACCATGGCTTCTCCTAATGTGGGGCTTTTGCTTATAAGATGCATACCAATAATGCCAGCTTCCTTTTTTTCAGGCGCTGATCCCAATCCATTCCCTCTAGGGCTCTTAGTCTTTGTTGTAGCAGGAACCATAATTGTAAGCCTGGTTCTGATTTTGGCCTGTAAAAGGTAAAACATAATCCTCTTGTCATGAGTATGTATACAAAGATAACAACGTTAAATTATTTGTTTTCTTCTTACTTCTGCCAAATCATCTTTATTTTCATTGCGGGGATTTTACCAAAGAAATTAGATCTAAAGAAACCACTTCCCCACAAAAGCTTAGTTCAAATTTTGCAGCCAAGTTTGGACACCTATAACAAGGGATCTTAATCTAGATTAAGATCTTAATTCAGAGTGTGGTAATGGAGGTGTCTGATTTCTCTTGTGATCTCCAAATCTGTTTCAATCTCTGAATTGATTGACTGAAACAAATTTGAACAAAAATAGCATAAATAGAAGGCCTGATCTTGATCATAACAAGGCAAAGAGTTAAGCTTCTGACACCTTATGTCCCTGGTTCTTACTGTAGAATAAGAGGGGAGCCACATTTACCCCCCCCCCTTCTCATTTTTGCACACCAGCATGTCAACAACAAAACAAAAAATAATTTTGGGAATCCTGCCCTCCAGAAGCCTCCAGGAGCAACATTTCCACCCCCAAAAAACCCCAAAAGCACCCTTATACACAAATATATTTTTTCTGTGACTTGATGCTGGAAATAACACCCTCCTACCATTGTTTTCAGGTCTTTGATCAATGGGTGTGAAATGTTAAAGCACACTATGCTCTAAATATTTCTAGTCTGTTTCCCAATTAAGACTAGAGACAGACGTGATTATAATCACAGAAGTTTATTTCTGCAGAAGGTTAACTAGAAAGTGGGTCTCTGTAACAGCCAGGTAGGTACCACAAAGAGCAACAAAATGGCAGGGTTTTCATACAGATTTTAAGACCACACAGAAAACACATTGGCATCCCTTTTGTGCCTCCTCATTCCACTTCTTAACTCCACCTTCTGCTCCACCTCCCCTTCACCGTGTTCATTCCCTCAGCACGCCCTAGAAAGATTTGAGTAAAGCCATTGTTTTCACAGTTTACAACTATCTTATCTTTTGGGCGCTTCTCCCAGGCCATTTGCCTTGAGTTGAATAATTCTTGTTCATGTTGCTAGGAAACTCTTGCTAACTTACTCTGCATACCTGTATGTGATGTAAAGCCCATTGTTTTCTAACTCCTTGGCTCAACTCTTTTTCTCTCTTCTCTGGAGTTGTCTGAACCAACAGTGATTTAACATTTCAACATTAACAATGAACAGTTACTTTAAATTAGCAAATTAGCAATGATGCAAATCAATTAACAGTGGACATCTTCCATTACAAAAGGAGATGAATCAGTGCAGATGAATTTGTATAGCAACACCTTTATTTTCCTTCCTCCGGTCCACACCTAATGTGGTTGGTCAGGAGTGGAAAACCAGGGAGAAAACATGCAGAAAACTTACTGGGGCCCACAAAAGAATAAACAGTAGATGAAAAAAGGACCAACTAGGCCAAGGGCTGTTTTTATTTTTTTAAAAAAACAAACAAACAAAAAAACCCAATTATTTCTCTTCAGTATCTTACAACATGTAGAAAACAAGGAGAAAATTAGAAAATATTTGTTTAATTAATATTCATAAGGTCTTCCAGAAAAAAATATTGAAAAACAATGGAGAAATCCCGCTTCCTACCAAAAAAACAAGAGTCACTGAAACTTAGCTAGTTCTACTCTCTGATGACATCTTAGGAACCAAGTGAGTCTCACTTAAATGCTGGATAACACTCTTTATGAAAACACACTCATAGAATGGGGTTTCTTCTGGACATAGCTTTGAGCTTGGATCCTGGGTCTTAGCAGTGGTATGTAATGCTACTTCCCAGCCAAAATTGGAGAATTAAACACTATGCCTATTCCTGAAGAATTTAGATCAGACAAGAATGACACAGATCTACGAGACATATAGATAATTGTGTTGGTATCTACAAATGGATGCCTTTGAAGAGTAATCATTAAGCTCATTTAGTCCAGAGTATGGGATAGGAAGTGTGTGATTGCCTTCTTGGATCAGTTCATGTACTGTGCACGTGTCCTTTTATCCGTGCAGGTCTCTGTAGGAAGGAAATATTTTGGCATTTGCTAATGTCCCCATCTATTTTACCTGTAGATCTCATGCATGGAAAAAAATTATTGCTCCAATCCCACAACCAAAAGACATTATTAAGCAGTATGAGAAGAACATGGAGGTAAGTTCCGAAAAATAGTGAATGATGTTTGACAAGTCTCTCTCAAAGATTTATTATGTCAAATGGCTGCCTATATTTACCAACTAATTTTACTGCAGTTGAGTTGCTGTTGTTATTGCAATTATTAATATTTTCATCAATATCCCACCTTTCTCCTCAAAATTAGGACTAAAAGTGGTTTATGACTTTTAAAAAGAAAACACAGCTACAACAATGTAGACGTTTAATTTAACACCAGATCCTGCTTTTTGTTCTACAATTAATGAAGTAGATGTCTTCCTGGGCATCACTTCTTTAACAAAACCTTTGGTACCAGAGACAGAAATAACATGGAAATAAAGATAATGTGTTTTTCTCTCCATCAAAAAAAAGAGCAACTTGAGTATGTTAAACCATACTTTTAATGCACACGAGAAATGAAACAACAACGAAGGGTCTTTTATACTTTTTTTGTTGTTATGCTGGGGAAAACAAGGAGAAGTGCTTCATATGAATAACAAAATCATGTGTTGGCCATGTTAATAGGATTTTACTTTGAGCTACAATGCAGAAATGGGATCAAAATAGTTCTGAGCTTTAGGAATTAACCCCAAAAGCTTTTTCTCTTCTCTTTCATAGAAAGCCTGCATGGATTCATTATTGACAACAGCAGAGGATGAAAAAATCACACTGGTTGAAGAAATGACTGTTAAGACATATGACTTAACTGACCAGCAATTAAACCTCAGAAACTATGGAAATACCATTGCTTTGAGAGTTCACACAGCATCAAAAATGAATTAATCAATATTCTCCCACAGTAAGATACAAGCATAACTACAACTGACCGACTGTACCACCATTTATATATCCCATTGTATTCTGTCCACAACATAGCCCTTAGGGTTACTTTTCCTTCTTATTTTGTGGTTTTGACATGAGTAGTGGTTTATTGGACAGCTTGTACTTAGCACACATTCATTACGCCTTTTGACTGTTTTGATGTTTATAAATTATATTAAAAAATCTAATGATTTTTTTAAAAAAACACAGAGGAGGGATAGAGTTGCCTGAGCAAAAAATGAAGAGAACTCTTGTACCTTTAAAGGTTGAGGGAATGTCAGTGGGTGTAGCTTGTCATGCAAGCAGGTCACAAGTGACACCTGCTGAAATTCCCTTTTCTATCTAGCCATTAAAGGTAAAATAGCACTTTCCAGTTTTTTCTCTGGCAGTGCTATCCCAGCTTGTTGTTACTTTGACATATATATTACATTTAGAGAGGAAGGAAAAAGCTCAGTAAAGATACACCTCTAAATTCATGGCCTGGCCTGCACCTACATGTTCTTCCAGCAATATCTATTCAGAGCTTTCTTTGGGTATACCAGGGCTTCCTTTCAGGGTAGCACAGGTACCATTACACTAATGGCCCATCTCTGCTGGCATAAAGGGGCACTGATTCCCATTACAAAACTCCCACACATTGGTCTTAGAACTTGCATTACAATTTCTTCTTCTTCTTTACTTCACAGTATAACATTTTATTCTGTTAAATAAATTCTTTATATTGCAAAATACTCTTTTATCTCTGAAGCCATGCTTAATGCCTTGTGGTTCCAGATCATCAATCTCCAATCTGAATGGAAATGCATTTGCACTTAAGTTCTTCCTAAATCTAAAGCCAACTTGATTCCCTCCACCTCTCTGACATTGTCCTTGAATAACTCTTTATAGATGATAGCTTACTGAAATAGTGCTGTTTTAGAATATTTTGTTATACAGTGAGTGACACAATTAGTATGCAATTGGTGTTCGATCATGCAGGACCAGGGATGCACAAAAGTATTTTTCATAAAAATAAGATTTGTGTGATGGATGGCAGAACATTAACAGCAGTTAAAGGCACTCACAAGAGAAATCTTGGCAATATCTTTAATGCTAGGTTAAATATCTTTTACTCTACACAACAGCAAAGTTATGAGAAAAGAAAACATGGGCAAACAACTACTGCCTCATCAGATGGGCACAATTGCCCCTTCTACAATCCTTGCACCACTCTGTAGGCACAGAGCCCATTGGATCACATTACATGACATTGATCTACTTCTGGCAGGGGTCCATCCCTAAAGAAAGGTGCAGTTGTCTCAGGAGTCAGGGCCAGAAACACAGGAGGCTCCCCGTGTTGCATTAAAAGTAACGGGGGGGGGGGGGGGGGGGGGGGGGGAAGCTGGGTGGTGACACTTCCCCCCCTCCATGTGATGAGGGGCAATCTGGGTGATGTGAAACAGGTTCCCCATGCTCCCACCAGATGTGCCACAATCCATGGAGAATTCCCCCACTATCAGGGTCTCTAGTTCAATCTCCCCCCCCCCCCCAAAAAAAAACAACCTGCACCCTTGGTCCTCAAACATTTTATAAACATCCCATTCCAGTCAGAGCCAGTTCGTGTTATCAGTCTCTTCTCAGGCTATGTCAGACTTATCCTTTCTCATGGTGGGACTCCTGATTTAATGCATTCTTCACCTTAGGATGAATTATGGCATGGGAGGGGGGGGGATGCGCTACTGACCCAGAGACACCAGAACAGGATCTGCAAAATAATCTGTCCTTACTTCATACTGGACACAAAACATACCTCCCTCTTCAAAGGCAAATTGCTAGCACTGTTAAAGTGCTTTAAAAAGTGCTTATTTAATAAAAAGTCAAGACTTATAATGGAGGAAAAGTGTATGGCAGTATGCTGTTTCTCTTTGGTGCTATTTAGAAGTTTCACAGCCATCTTCGCCACAGCATGACAATTCATGACACTCTCAGACACGGCCAATAACTACTACTGCCACCCTCGCTGTTTCCAATTAAAATATAAAAGTGCAGATACTTGAAGATTCCTCATATATGGTAAACAAATGAATATGGAAAGTCTTTTTTAGGGGAAAAATCCATTCATGAAAGTCAGTCAAGTTGTAGAGTGGATCATTTTTTTTTCTAAGCCATAAGCAGGAAATGCTACCCAAGAAACTGCCTCTCTAACCAGAAACCAAGTCCAGATTTGCGGTTTTCCCTTCCTTGACTCTCCTCAATCGATATTTATGTTATTGCACTTTTGTATTCCTATACAAACTGCATATATGCATGACTTTACTATTCACCTATTTTCCTGTTGTAAAGTGTGGGGTCAAGATTACATAGCCATTTCGATGTCACACTTGGAATATCCATTGCAATAATGATCTGTTATGTGGCTTGTCAATAGATCTTAGTCAAATTATTTCTCACTTAGCCTTTATTCAGTCAGTTAACTCCAAACATCGAAAGATGCACCTGGATATAAAAATTTAGGGAAGAAACGACATCACAGTTCACCACAGCTGCCATTAATTGATGCAGTGTCCTTTTAATTGTAAAAATTACTTACAGGAATATGCAATGTTGCAGTTGCTCTTCAATATACTTCTTAAGATGTGGTATCAACATTTTACTGAATGCAAAGCAGGACCATAGCACAACAAGTGTGGGGGTAGGGGTGTTAATTCTTTCACAATCATAATAACCACTTTGCTAGTGTAAATCGGCAATTTCCACAGTTCACGTGTTTACCTTTGGATTATAATAGCTACATTATCTGTTACACAACAATATTGAGAAGCCGTGTCAACAAATAACCCTCTGTTCAAGTTTGTTTGAAAAGTATTTATTTTAAAAACTTAAGTTAAAAAAAACAAAAAGTAACACATAATGGTTGTTCAAAGATGGCCCATCAAACCAGAAAGTGTGTAAGATTAGCGAGCTGCATCACTTTACATACTTAAATATTGTGAAGTTTAACAGATGCTATACGTGACATGCTTAATACTTTTGGGCTGTTAACTATGTTTCTTGTACTGGCAACACAGAAAGAAGATTACCCTAAGTCAAAATGCTACATTTCTCTATCATTTTATTCATTTGACAGATATTAGGAGTGCACATAACAGGAATATGAATCTGAACATTTCTATCTCTTAATTACTCTCCTGGATGTTTTAATGAACTTTCTGTTTCCCTAAGGAGCCAAGCAGTATGAGGATGCAATCAATTACTGACAAGCCATTTAATTTGTCTTTTGTAAACTATTTCTTCCTTATTTAGAATAGGATCTTTGGGGCCGGAGGTCAAACTTTTCATCATGCTGAAATAAGGGAGGTTGTGACTAGGAGTAATGCCAAAAAAAACCCAAAAAACACAACAAAAAACCCAAAACACCAACCCAGGACGTGACACTTTAGGGCCTAAAGAATAGCTCAATGTGTGCCCATCCCAGCATCTAGGATGGAATAGGCAAGTTTTGCTGTGCCCACCTTTCTCCTCTATCCCCTCCCACCCAAAAAAGTGCTGCCTGAGGCCAATCACTTCATTATGCTATATAGCAGGGCTCAAGGTTTAACAGCAAATTCAAGACAGTTATGTTTATTATTTCACAGAATGCCCCAGGTTTAGGAACACAAATGCTAGATGTTCAACTGTGCAAAACGGTACATAGTGCTTAAGTACAAGTGGGAAAAAAATGTAATTTGTTAAACAAATACTTCTCAAAGCATGATTTCGTGGTCCTCTTAAGATAGGACTTGAAACTTCCAACTGATCTACTGACAAATGCAAATCAGCTGACTTGGACCCAAACAGTTACCACTGCAATAAACACCAAAAACAGACAAATCTAGTAACTGAACTGTCTGTTTTGATGCCTGTATAATGGTATTACAAAAGTGCATCACTTCATTGAAGGCAGTTTCTAGTCCTACTTTAAACATGATCTGGCCCTGATAAATAAGACTGCACAAGTATTTCTTTGTAGGTCAATGGTCCATAATGGTAAGTTTTCTACATGATCTGTCAATTTAACATACATTTTTAGCAACATGCTGTTTTAGATGACTTTTTTGAATTCATCATACAAGACAAGAACAAAAGCGCCCCCCATGCCTCGAAGAACATTGGACCATGCACCCTTGAAAAATGCTTTTCCACCTTCATCTCTTGCAATCTTTTTCCAGCAGTCAATTGTTCCAGAATACATGATATCACCTGTGGGACAAATAAGATGATTCATTTGAAGCTTTAGTCTAAAGGATAGCAAATTTTGGGTTCAAACATTTAAAAAGTCGTACAGAGCATATTTTATTCACAACATGCCACTTTGCAAATATTACCCTGTAAGTATAACACACATCATTTACTAGTGGGAGGAAGTACATTTCTTAGCTAACTAAACACACAGAGCAAGGTCCTCTGGGTGATTTAGGGAGTAATCAGGATGTACTTATCTTTTATTTCTGTTTTTCATCAAACTCAGGTAAGGTAGCAGATCATAGAATAATAGAATCAAAGAGTTGGAAGAGACCTCATGGGCCATCCAGTCCAACCCCCTGCCAAGAAGCAGGAATATTGCATTCAAATCACCCCTGACAGATGGCCATCCAGCCTCTGTTTAAAAGCTTCCAAAGAAGAAGCCTCCACCACACTCCGGGGCAGAGAGTTCCACTGCTGAACGGCTCTCACAGTAGGAAGTTCTTCCTCATGTTCAGATGGAATCTCCTCTCTTGTAGTTTGAAGCCATTGTTCCGCGTCCTAGTCTCCAGGGAAGCAGAAAACAAGCTTGCTCCCTCCTCCCTGTGGCTTCCTCTCACATATTTATACATGGCTATCATATCCCCTCTCAGCCTTCTCTTGTGAGAGATGTGTGAAATGTTTTCATAAGGGCTAATAAATTCTAAATCAATCTAGTGCCATTCATCTATACACTTTAGGCTAAGTTCAATCAGCACTACCAAAGGCAGGTATTTCTGAAATTATGGTTGAAATATCTTGAAAAAACTAGGCTCCCTACCCAGTGCAGATTATTAGTCCAGATTAGTGGCTAATCTGGAAGGAGTCTGTACTTTCCTTTTAAGGCTCACATTTGTAGCTTGAAGTAGCCATTGATATGAAATTAGTTACTACAATAAGATATTTGGAACATCCCTCTACAAAGACAGTCTTGCCGCCATTCTCCATGACCCAATCATCTCCTATTCAGATTGTTGTGAATAGGATGTGAATGCACCATATGTGGGAATGCCCTTCAAAGACAGCAAGATCACCAGTTTGAAAATATCTATATTTATAAACTTCTGTTGAAGGCCATGCATTTCTCAGGTCTCTACAGTAGTGGCACTTAATTAAATAAATACTCTTCCAGTGTCAGGGAGTATCTTTAAAATTGCCACAACTTTTAAAACACATTTTTTAATCTTATTGCCTAGTCTTCATTTTGGGGTTTGGGTTTACTTTTCCAGGGCACTAAGCATTACTGCACTGTTCACATTAACAGTATCGTTATTATTTAACAATTCAAAGTGCTGGCTTTAGCCTTTAAATGGTTCCAGTGAAGCTTACCTGTCCGAACGTATCCCTCCCTATGAATCAGCTCGGAGCTTAAGATCGTCTGGGGAGGCCCTGCTTTCAATCCCACCTCCTTCACAGATGCAATTGGCGGGAATGAGAGACCGGGCCTTCTCAGCGGTGGCCCCTCGGCTATGGAACGTCCTCCCTAGGGATATCAGATCTTCCCCCTCCCTCCTAACATTTCGAAAAAGAGTTAAAACCTGGATTTTGAGCAAGCATTTGCAAATGCAGTCTTAACAGGCTAATTTAGATCCATGAAATGATTGGATGATGCGACTGGAAAATGAATTTAGTAATGAGACGCTGAGGACTTCTGTTTTTATTATTTCTACTTGAGTCACCTTCGGGCTGAGAAAGGCAGTATATAAATATGGTAAATAAATAAATAAATATTTAACCCACACTCCAGCTTTCAAATTGTACATTTTATATGGTAAATAAAAATAATAATCTTTTTTCTCTATGATATGTATTATATACAGCTGCCCCACAAGCCTGAAAAAATTATCACACTGAAACTTAACATTTCAGATGTTAACAGATCCCAACCTGTTAACACCCAATCCAATCAAGTTGATGTGATGAAGTAAATTTAAATATTAACATTCACTTTGAGGATTCTGGGGTAGACTGCAATGCTTTAAGCCTCAATAATTAAGAATTAAGTAAAAGGTTTATTTTCACATTCCTCAAAGTTCATTGTAAAGGCTACTTACTTGCTTTACGGCCAGACTGCATCATCATTCGACGGCGCACAGTGTCAAAGGGATAGGAGACTACACCAGCAACTGCAGTTACTGATTGTGCAATCATCCAGCTGATCACAATGTGAGTGTTCCTAGGATCTGGGAGCATACCTGTAATGAAGGAAAATATGGCAATAGATATTTTAAGAAAAGGATTTAAGACTTATTTGTACAGATATCTTGAAATAAAGGAGATCAATTTTGTTTACAAGTTTAAACATTGCTTGGTTAACTTTCATTCTCTAACTCAACAATCAAAGTATATATGATAGTACCTATCCTTAATATGAGTACTATGCTCTGAAGACCTGAACGTTCTATCATGTTGTATTAATAACACTACAGCTGGTTTTTGCTGAAGGTCCAAGCTATTAACAGCTACTTGCGACAAAACAACAGCATTTCATGCAACAGCTTAGTTTGCTCAAGCAGTAATTTACAGAAAGGGACCTTGCTGATTCCTACCTTTCTCTAATGCACCTCCAAATATGTGGTGTCCATTATTTTGTATCTTTTATGCTTTTTTAAAATTAAAATTCTTCATTTGCTATAGCTTATTTGATATTAAACATGTAAGATTGGCATGGTCTTTTTGACTATGCTTCTTTGAAATAAAGTTTTTTAGAAACTTAAGAAAACAAAAGTTCAAAATGATTTACAGATATGTTTGTCCTTACAAACCAACATACGATGTACGATAAACTGGAAATCTATCATTGGACACTATGCTGATCTTTAAAAACAGATATGTCTGTTAAAAATCAATCCAAATGCCTCATTTACCTTTTGCTGTATCATAGATCCCAAAGTAGGCAGCTCTATAGATGATTATACCCTGGACAGAGACATTGAAGCCTTGATATAAGCCACGCAGGCCATCGGATTTGAAGATTTTGGCCAGGCAGTCTCCCAGACCCCTGAATTCTCTGTCACCAGAAGCTTTTCCGACATCAGCAGCCAGACGGGTTCTTGCAAAATCCAGAGGATAGACAAAACAGAGGGATGTGGCTCCAGCAGCACCGCCAGAGGCCAGGTTGCCAGCAAAATACCTCCAGAACTGTGTGTGCTTATCTACTCCTCCTAAGAAAACTTTCTTATATTTATCCTTGAAGGCAAAGTTGAGAGCTTGAGTGGGAAAGTATCTTATGACATTGGCTAAATTCCCGCGCCAAAAGGACAGCATTCCTTGCTCTTTAGGGATGCGCACTACACAATCAATGATTCCTTTGTATTGTTTGTCAGCGGTAATCTGCTTGCTTGCATGTTGTACCTGTAAGGAAAAAAAGATAATGTTAAGATATTTTATGGGTAAAATAAAATGCATTATTCAGACATCAAGTGTGTGTGTGTGTGTGTGTATTATTTATTTATTTATTTATTTGCTTTGCTTCTATACCGCTGTTCTCAGCCCAGAGGCGACTCACAGCGGTTCACAGGACACAAGACACAGCAAAATTTAATACACCAATATAAAACAGTTAATAACCAATCTAATACACAGTTAGTATACAATTACTATAATAACCATTCAATAGTGTCTCTTCACTAAAAAACATGATCCAGATTCGTCATCCATTGTTCCATTCCTATGTCATTGCCAGTCATTGCGCTAATTATTCGAACGCCTGCACAAACAACCAGGTCTTTACTTTTTTGCGGAATGCCATTAGAGATGGTGCTAATCTAATGTCTGTGAGAAGGGCGTTCCACAGCCGGGGAGCCACCACCAGGGTATATATAAAATTTCAGTCAATGATCAGCATTAAAACGAACAGTAAAAGATAAGTAAAACATAAATATAGGCAGTAAAATAAAAATTTTAAAGCAAAGTTAAAAAAAAACCTTGTTCAGCTTGAGAGTTAAAAACAGCACCAAATATTTGTATATTTAAACAGCAGTGATAAAAGCTGAGAGAAAACAATAGAACCTTTCAAGACTGTGACAGCATCCTGTGATGGCAAGCTATTGGTGCTGCACAAAAAACTAGCCTCTTTGGCTGTGATTTCAGAAGACTGGTAAGTCAAATGATTATCAACAACAACAAAAAACCTTTCAGGTTTCTCTGGTGTTCTGTGTAAAACTGGGATAATAAAATGTTGCCAAAAGTCTTGACAGAAAAAGCAGTACAGTAAAACATGTCCCACATTTTCTACTGCCTCAGCCTCACAGGGACAAAGGCATTTGCAATATTGCATATGGTTATATCTTCTCTGCAGTACTCCAGAAGGAAGCAGACTGAATTTAGCCAAAAGGAACACTCTCCTATATTTCTGGATAGCTACATTACTTAGGTACTCCGTAGAAAAAAGTCCTCCCATTATCTTTGAAAACTGGAAACATGGAAGGTGTATTTATGTAGTTTTGTGACTCAATATTCCAGGTTTAATAGCTGGATCCTATAATCTCAGCTTCAGTTTGAAATATCAATCTGAGATCATTTGGAATTATGCATTATTTATGAGTGATAAAGAAAAGTATATACAGTACACTCTCAGTTAATTATAACTTTCAAGCAATTGGCAAAAAAAATCAAAGAAATAGTATTTTTAATAAACATTACAATGCAGAACTGTGTCACATTAAGTTTGTCTCAATTTGCTTTGATTATTGTATTTCAATATTAATATCAAGTCAATACAGAGTTTATGGTAAGGTATAGTACTGGGTATAGTATTAGTCCTATTTTTAATAATAACTCTCAAGGAACCAGAACCTACATTTACCCAGGAGTGCCACTTAACTGACACTAGGAATTTAATTATAAAAAAGTCTGGTAAAATACTGCTCAAGATATCAACTACAAACATAAACTAATCATCCACACTAAGAAAAAAAACTGAACATGGAAGCTACATATATAGGCAGTCCCCAAGTTAACAAACAATTTATTTATCACATTTATATCCTGCCCTTCTCATCTGTGAGGGGCCCCCGGGTTGCCTTACAAAGGCAAGAATTCAATGCCGTATATTAATAGATTAGTAAATAAACAAAAACGGTAAAATCAAACCCATTAAAAATAGCAATAAAACATCAATTAAAATTACATGATCTAGGTTCTGTAGGTTTGTTCTTATCTGGACACGTACATTTTAAAGTCTAAACAGTCATGTATGTGCGTGTGTGCATGCACACACTTTGGTTGGCATAGCGAAGGGCTAACACTCTTATGGTGTTTTGCTGCCTGTGTCCCTGTTCAGAAGATTTTTGTCCATGTGAGAATTGGATTTTGAAAAAAAAATGCCTTGTGGAAACAAGGATTTGGGGTAAAGCTTCAATTGAGACACCTTTTCCCCATGATAACTTTCATGAGTGAATTTCCCTTCCAATGAGGTAGATTTCTTTCACTTCCTGTTGTCTCACCCTTAACTAGCTTTTGCAAGTCAGAAGTTTGTAACTTGGGGGCTGCCTGTACTTGCTTTTCCAGCATGAAAAGCAAGCTTCAAACTCTAGATCAGGGGTCCTCAAACTTTGTAAACAGAGGGCCAGGTAACAACTCATCCTCTAACAATGCTTGCTATGGAATAAAGGGCGAGTTGGATTTTCCACACAGAATTATAAATGTACATTGTACAGTACATTTCCCAACTAAAGAAATCAAAGCAAGCCACTTTGAGTCTCCTCGTCAAGAGAAAAAGCAGGGTATAATCAATAAACATAATAAACATACAATAATACCGGCTGTTAGGAATTGTGGGAGTTGAAGTCCAAAACACCTGGAGGGCCCAAGTTTGCTCATGCTTGCCATAGAATCACTTAATGAAATCAAACCTAGGAAGATGGAGTGTCCTGTAATTGTAAATATATATTTTGTATATATATTGTAAATATATATTTTGGAAGTCCAGACAAGGGATGCTCAATCTCTACTTTCCTCATATGTGTTTTAGAACTACAAAAGCATAAGCTAATGAGATTTTATAGTTCACACTTTCACCACAACCTGCAGAGTGGAGCTTGGCGTTCAAAAGAACTGCATGAAGCGCGAGCTCAGCCCCGCCCACAAAAGGGGGCGTGGCCAGGGAAAGCTGCAGCGCCGCGTCCCTCAGGGCACCGCCCGCGCGCCGCCCCCTCTCGGCAAAGGGGACGCTCCTCAGCCACGCCTCGCGAGAACAATGACGGGAGCAGGCGGGTCTTGCCCCGCCCCTTCTCTCCCGCTCTGACGGCGCCATACGCCTGTCAGGCGCGTCAATCAAAAACGCGCCGCCGGAAGCAAGATGGCGGCAGCGACCGGCGCTTTCTCGCCTCCTGCCTCCCGAGTCAATGGCGACGCATCATCTCGCCTTCCTGTAACGGGTCAGCCCTCCTAACGGCCTGACTAACCGGAAAGCCCTGAAGCGTCCCCCTCCCTCGCGAAACCGTCATGTGCTCCAGGAGAAAAGGCGAAGGCCCACCTCCCTCCCTCCCTCCGGGAGCCTGACCTGGAGCAAGAGCTTGACCCGCTCGATGGGTGCCACGGCCGTCTTGCTGATGGCCGCCGCCACGCCGCCCGCCAAGAAGTCTTTAGCGAAGGAGAGGGCCGCGTCCGCCATGGCTCGAGTGCTGCTGCTGCTGCTGCCGGTGAGGGGGAGGAGGAGCAGGAAAGGGCTGCGGCGGAGGACGGCGTGGCTTCGGACGCACGCCAGAAAGGAAGGGCCGCCGGCGCTGGAGAGCTAAATGGCCGGCTGGGGAAGCTCCGCCCGCGCGGCGCCATTGGTGGAGGAGGCGCCAATGGAAAAAGGAGAGCCTTCTTCGCCGGGTAGGAAGCACCCCGTTGAATGGAAAGCAGTGGCGCCGTGGCGCGAGGAAGCACGCGCCGCTCGGTCCTGAGGGTCGGAGGCAAGCCAAGGCTTCCCCGCTACTCCCACATGGTCTGAGGTAGAGGAGCCTTTCCTTTCTGGTGGTTGAGTAGGCACTCACGTTATATCAACGAGCAAAAACAAAAGAACAAGATAGAATTAGGCACGAGTGAAAGGCTAGGAATGTGAAGCAGGGCAGAGAAAGTTTCTGGGTCAGATTTTGCTGCAGCCATAAGTGATCACTACAGCCCTAAAGCAAGACACACACACCTCTCAAAAGTCCCAGCCTTCAATATACAGGTTGAGCATCCCTCATCCAGAATTTCAAAATGCATTACACAGAAATCAAAAGCTGCCCACCTGGATTCCTGAGATGGGGGATATGTTTCCTTTCTCGTGGTTCCATGGTTACACAAACCCTGTCCACTGCACAATATTATCCAAAAATATTGTGTGTAAAATGACCACCAGGCCTGGAGATGATGATGATGATGATAATAATGGTTTTCCCCTGACATTAAGTCCAGTCGTGTCCAACTCTGGGATTCAGTGTTCATCTCCATTTCTAAGCCGAAGAGCCAGCGTTGTCCGTAGACACCTCCAAGGTCATGTGGCCAGCATGACTGGCGTGCCGTTATCTTCCCGCCGGAGTGGTACCTATTGATCTACTCTCATATGCATGTTTTTGAACTGCTAGGTTGGCAGAAGCTGGGGCTGACAGCGGAAGCTTATGCCGCTCCCCAGATTCGAGCCTGCGATGTTTCTGTCAACAAGTTTAGCAGCTCAGTGGTTTAACCCACTGTGCCACCGGGGGCTCCAATAATAATAATAATAAACTTTATTTGTACCCTGCCACTATCCCTCCCAAAGGGGATTTGGGGCAGCTAACATGAGGCCAAGCCCAGAATGACAGTACAACAAAATAAAATTATTATTATTTTTTTGGTCGTGTCAGGAGCGACTTGAGAAACTGCAAGTCACTTCTGGTGTGAGAGAATTGGCCGTCTGCAAGGACATTGCTCAGGGGATGGCTGGATGTTTTGATGTTTTATCATCCTTGTGGGAGGCTTCTCTCATGTCCCCACATGAGGAGCTGGAGCTGATAGAGGGAGCTCATCCGCGCTCTCCCCGGATTTGAACCTGCAACCTGTAAATAAAATAAAATACAATACAAACACATAAAATAAAATACAAACAGCAAATAATAACATCAAAATAAAATACATAAAATAACAGAAAATGCAATAAACTGATGCAAAATAATGTGATATAAAATAAAAGCATGGTGGGCAGCCCAAATACACAGAATAAGGTTGATAAAACCCAGGATGAGATAAGTATATTGAGAAGTATGTGTATAAAATGACCATCAGGCCTGGAGTTGTGTATAAAATGATCATCAGGCCTGTTCACAACTTCTAAGGATGCCTGCCATAGATGTGGGCGAAACATCAGGAGAGAATGCTTTTGGAACATGGCCATACACCTTGTTCCAAAGTCACAGCAACCCAGTGATTCCAGCCATGAAAGCCTTCGACAGCACAGTTATTGTTTAGACTTGGGTCCCATTCCCCATGGCATCTTATTGTGTGTGTATACAATACAGATGTGGATTGCATTATACACTGGTTAGGTGAAACTGTTCTCAAGGAATCTTGAGGTTTTCCATTGTGATTCTGTGATTGGCTTCCAGTGAAGTTGACCATAAAATTGTACTGGGTGACAATTTCATAGGTGAAAAAAAAAACCACCACATTTTTATTCACAGCTTTTCATTTTCATAGAATCATAAGAGTTGGAAGAGACTGCAAGGGCCTTCCAGTTCATCTCCTGCCATGTAGGAGCATACAATCAAACCACTGACAGATGGCCATTGCGTTTCTCTTTCAAAACCTTCCAGATAAGACCTCACTACATCCCGAGGCAGCATATTCTACTGCTAAATAGTACAACTCCCATTACCTCATCCATTGGTCATGATGGTAAGGACCACTTAGGTCGGTTTGAGATTGGCGAAGAAGGAAGTGATACCGCAGCGCAGATGATTACATGTAAAGTCCTGGACTTGAGTTAAAGCCTGAATGTTGTTTGCATGCATTGCACAGGCTGGCCTTGAACCAGTTTCAGGATCCACAGCTGTGTGGAGGAATCCCCCCCCCCCCCCACTGCTGCATGTCCTCTTGCTCCAGTGCATATGTGCAGATCTCTAAAGCTCTTGTCTCTTAATCGGCCACTGTGCAACATACTTTGCTTAGGCATGCTGATGCACATTATGAGCTGTTTCACAGTATCCCCAACTTTGTTTATCCCAGTTTAAAGCCATTAATTGGAGTTGTTGGGTTTGTTCACCGAGTGTGTCATCTAAACACTGTGCTGTCAAGCTGCCTTCAAACTGCATTAAGACGTCAGTGTAGACATGACATGCCTTGGGACTAATAAGATTTGGGAATCCCCGGACATCTGCAAATCAAAAGTTCGAGGTTCTTTTTTTTTTTTTAGGTAAAGAAACTTATCAAAAATATTGTACTAGTCTAGCTGCAACATGACTGATCTAGCACTTTTTGGAGGTAGTAGGGATTTAGTCAATGGAAATAAATACTTTTTCCTAGGATAAAAAAAAATCAAATTGTCACCTGAAAATCACATAGAAAATGGGGTGTTGTTGTGTCTCATTTGTTGTGCAACTCTCTGTTACATTTATTATTAAACACTTTTGTCAAATTATTTATGTTGCCTTTCCATGCTATTTTGCAGATGTGTTTAGATACAAGTATTCTATGTTATTATTCATATGTATCAATTTTTGTTTGCAGTACAGTGGGCAGATATTAGTACCACCAATTCTGTAAAATACTTCTGCTATGCCGCTTTAAAAATCTGAGAAATGTGATTGCTATATGAATTGTAAGCACTGTTTAAAAATTATGAGTGGCAATCTTTCAAACAGATTCTTTTCTGCAAAAAAAAATGGATGCCTTAGGTCCAGATTATCTGAAAGACTGTATCTTTCCTTATGAACCTAAAATCTTCAGAGGAAGCTTTCTCTCATTCCTGCCACCATGAAAGGCTCTTTTGGTGAGGACACAAGAATCTTCTCCATTGCTGAGCCCATTCCTCTAAAGCGCTCTTTTTATTGGGCTGTTTTGTTTATCTTTTAAAACTTTTGTGTGTTTTTAAAAATGATTTTATTTTGTTTTATGTGATGACAATTTTAACGCTTTTCAAATTTTGTGAAAGTTTTTTTTTAATTGATCCTCCCTTGAAGCTGTCCTGAATTTCACTCTGGAAAAACATCAGCATAAGTAAAATAAAATATATCAATAAATAAATCACACTGTGCTGAACATTTTGATGGAAATTGTTTTTTGGAGTTAGCCATTCATTTGAAAATTAACTGGGCATAATGTTATTATACTTAAACTGGATTTGAGCCAGTCAAATAGATTGCAAGCTTTGTTTCCAAAGTCTTATTCAGAACACATTTTGTAGGTCAAACAGTGCAACAAATCACTTTAAGAGATTGGAAAAGTTTAAAAGAGCATGTATGCACAATTTATCTTTAGAGTGAATCATAAAAAGCACCCTGAGGGTATTTTTGGGGGGGGGGGTTGTTGTCTCAGGAGCAACTTGAGAAACTGCAAGTCGCTTCTGGTGTGAGAGAATTGGCCGTCTGCAAGGACGTTGCCCAGGGGACGCCCAGATGTTTTGATGTTTTTACCATCCTTGTGGGAGGCTTCTCCCATGTCTCCAAATAATCTTCCAAATAATGTTTTTAGCACTACAATCCAATATAATGTATTTCAAAACATAATAGTCACATACACCCCTTTGGGGTTTTGGTTTAGGAATTTACTGATTTCTCACATAATAGTTGCAACTCTTGCCCATACGCCTGCCCCTTGGAGTGACTGGGCTTACCCACCTTCACGCCTGCTGGAGAGTTACAAGGCCTCCTTCAGTTGCTGCCAGTTGAAGGAGGCCCCGTAGCTCTCGCTGGCAGGCACATGGGCAGTTTATCAGCTATGGCTTCCCTAGGCTGGCAGCTGAAGGAAGCCCTGTAGCTGCAAAAACTAAAAAAAATCACCACATTAATAGTTGCACCTTTTGGAGGGAGGAAGGGACTATGACTATTATGCTGTAAAATACAATGTTTATTCAGAAGTAATTTCCACTATATTTAATAGACTTACTCTCTAGCATGTTGTATATTATTTATATGCATTAAGATTCCCTTATATGTGGTTTTCTATGTATTCGTATTATTCTTATTACACGGACAGGACTGCCGTGAATGTTCACTAGATGCATATTTATCTATTTTCAACAAGTCAGCCTAGCCTGTTTCTAATAATCACATATTCAACAATGCTAAGAAAAATCAAGCTTTGAAATGTTTTAACATCGTAGAAATTATCCGTTGGTTCCTTTTTCAGTGAGTGCCATCAAAAGATAAGTGTTTAAAGAAAAATAAGTAGAACAACTTTAGAACCAAAAATTATCAGTTATTGTAAGAAGTAGACTATGCATTTTCTAAAGTGGAAAAGGAAGTTGTTGACTATTTTTTAAATGCTGTTTCAGCCATCAAACTTTTATATACGGTTAATAAACTAAACAAGCAATTATTAAACTTTATTGTTTATAGACACCCAAAACAGATACATCTTTTTAAATTATAGTTAATGGATAGTACTAAAATGAAAGTACTCAAAACTGTCAAGTGACATGTAATTTAGGGGAATGATGATTTCTTAATACACAAAATGGCATCTAACAGGTTTCCTGTTATCTTAATCTGTACACTGGCGAATCCATGTTTCTCCAATAGCTCTTTGTATTCCAAGCCACTTCTCTGCTTTCCTTCAGTCATATTGAGAGACTGTAGAACACCTCTAGCAGGGCTTATTCTTTTCTCATCTAGCACAATTTCTGCAACCAACAAAGCATTTCCTGCATTTGAAAAAACATACAAGAGGTATTTAGCAACACACTTCTAGCTTGAGGTTAATATTTTGTTTAGTGGAAGTGTTTCCTTGGAGATCACAGTTTTGTTTCTTTCTCAGCAGTCAGGGATTCTTTGAGTAAATCTTTTATTACACATTAAACCTGACCTACTCATGGACAGTTGGCATCCAGGCCTACAGACAGATATTTTAAGATGGATTGGATTGAATTTAATACATTATTAGACATACCTCTTATCTTCCACAGAAACAAAATATGTACAAAGAAAGGGCAGGAGTGGCCCAATGAAACTGTGTGTGATTTGAGAGGGGAGGTAAAAGAGACATTTGGCGTACATGAGCTCCCCTTGACTAATAGTGCTAGGAGCTGTTTGCATAAAAGAGACCCAAGATGTTCTGTGTGTTTGTGTGTTTTAAATGACAGTGTTGTGTAATTCATCATCAGTAGAAACACATGGCCATATGGTGCACAACTCAGTTCAAGTTCTTTGCTTTAGGTCTTTCTCCAGGTTCTTCCATTACTGAAACTATACAATCTAACAAACAAAATGGCCCCAGACAGTGTTATAATTTATTATATACTTTTTAATTTCCATAATTTTTATTTGCTATGTTACTATTTTGTGATTTTGTACATTGTAAGCCATTTTGAAACCAAGTCAATATGATCTCATCAGTATCCAAATTACTGGATAAAATGAATTCTGCTATGCTGCACTTCTGCTGGAAATTACCAGAGTTGGCAATTTTCTAAGTGCTGCAGCTGATTTGATAGTAACTTCTGACAGAAGCAATTCATTTCTATAGGGTTCACTATTATCCATGGTTTCCTGCTTCCTTGGGAAAATTCAGAAATGTATTCCTCGCCATTATGGGGCTTACACTGTATATAAATCTAAATAATTTGAATATTTTGAAGCTAATGTTGACTCTGAAGAACCATTCAATTTCTGCTATTGTCATCAACAACTTTATGTTATGCAAATAAGCTTGCCATTTCCTTTTGTTCAATAAATACTACGAAAAGTGGGAATAAGAAACAAAGTCCTTACCTGGTTTGCAAATAGCAGCTATTTTGTTTAAAAGTGTATGAACCTTTTCCTCACAACAGTCATGTAGGATTCTTGACAGAATATAAAGATCTGCTTCTGGAAGATTATCTTTAAAAAAGTCACCTGATTGAAAAGGCATTTATATTATTTCTAATGATGACTATCCTTTTTAAGCTTGGTAGCTTCTTGTACACATTGATACTAAGAATGCAAACTATGATTGAAACTTTCTAAGTGGGTAGAACAAGGATGCTGTTTGGGAAAGAAAGGAAAAAAACTTCACATAAATATGTAAGCTACATTTAAACCTAATTTGCCTCGGGAAAAAAAAGCAATTAACTTAAATCAAAAATAAACATTGAAGGATTGTTTTATAAGAAAAAGGACATTTACTGCTGCAGTAAAAATAAACAGGACTGTGGCACTTTAAAGACTGATAATTTTAATTTTTTATAAACTATTGCCCACTCTATCTAATGCATGTCCATGTATATATACATCTGTTTCCAGGTGCAAGAAACTGAACATGCTAATGTGTGGGAAATGAAATGCAGAAAAGTAAGCTCTTCTTAGGAAATCACACATAAAAGACCACCTTAGCAAATATTTGCCACATCTCTTCTTCTCTTGTAAGAAATTAAGTGTCCAGGAAAGAAAAGGTCCCTGCTAAACATAAAGAACTTTGTCATTGCGGATAACCCCAGTCCCCAAGTTACAAACAAGATAGGTTTTATATGTTTATTCTTAAGTTGAATTTGCATGTAAGTTGGCACAGGTATTTTTTTACAGTGTAACTCCAGCCATACATATATACACACACATATATAAGCTTTGGAAAGCACAGGGAAGGGCTAACACCCTTGTGGTTTTTGCTTTGCTATCTGTGCCCCTGTTCAGAAGATTTCACCTTACTTTCTATCCCTGTGATAACTGGATTTTGACAAAAAAAAATGTCTTGGTGAGAAAGCTTCAGTGGAGACACCTTTTCCCCATGACAACTCTTTCAGGAGTGAATTCCCCTTCAGGGGGTAGATTTCTCTGACTTCCTGTTGTATCACCCTGTTTTTAAAGAGTCATTTGAAAATCGGATGTTCCTAACTCAGGGACTGCTTGTAGTAATCCTGAATAGAATTTTCTATCATATCATATCAAGATCCATACTATCTTGGTCCAAGAGGACTGGAGCTGCTTCTTAGTAACATATGAGCACAGAGTAAGCAATCTGGACAGGGTTTGCAGAATGAGTCAAAGTTAATATGTGGTCCTTAGGTTGCAAGTTCCTACTGCCATTATATAGAATATATTTTACCTCACAGCACATCTGTGTCCTCACTCTGAAAGACCATGCTGATCCAGAATAGGTCTCTACTGTCACTTACAGACCCACTGCCAAGACTATCCTTAGAAGGCAATAATACTCATCCACAAGTGATTGCCTATAGATAGATATATAGAATATATTTTACCCCCACAGCACATTTACCTGATGTGAAAGATACTCGATTACTGTTTTGCTCTGAATATTGAAAACTGGTAACATTTGTAATGACATCTGGAAGGTCAAACACAGTAACTTTCATTTCTGGGTACATATGGACTAGTTCATAAGCTAAAGCACCAGTGCAACCTACAGGAAACAAAATATTAAAACAAGAAAAATTTCTATTAACCATAATTTAGCTAAAGCCTGCATCTGAAATACTGGTATTCAGCAATCACTTAAAATCAATTATGTACAACTTTGCAAGATGTTTGTGTGCTCCCTCCTCCACAAAAACACACAAACTTATTCCGAAATGATAAAATACATTTTTGTACAGGATCATAAATTCCTTAGCCTTTGTGACTCTCAATGGAACTGTTCAACACTTAGGGAGCTGTCTTACAGCTTTGAACATACTGATTAAATCTATCAAAACCAAGAAAAGGAGTAGTAATCCACAAGAAACAAATGGAATGTTTTAGTCTACTAGATGAGTTCAGACCTATGTCTCTCCCTCTGCCCTATGCCACCCCACCGACATTCAAAAAGCTATAGAATTTTGTAACTAAGTGTCCTCAGAAGGAACGCTTATTGAGACAATTCAGTCTCAATGGTGATTATGATATCATTTCAAGACACACAAAAGTTATTATTGAAACCCTTACCTCCCAAATCGCATACAGCTTGGAATTTTGAAAGATCAAATGCCATACTTAAATCCCTTGCTGTCAGCTTGGAAATGCTGTGCATTGCACTCATAAAACGCTGCTTCACTTCTGTAGACTGGTAACAGAAATTGTTTAATAAATTATTAAACAGAGGAAACTATAATTTGGACAAATGTGTTGTGTCAACTCCAACTTTCAGCAACTTTGGCAAGGTTTATTCAGAGGAGGTATGCCATTGTCTTCCTCTAAGGCTGAGAGAGTGTGACTTGCCCAAGATCCCCCTGTGAATTTCCAAAAATCTGAATTCTGTACTCTTGCAGTTATTATTATTATTATTTTAATAATAACAACATTATTAAAACAGAGATATTTCTAAAATCTCATTTTGCTGAACATTGGAGTCAAGTATGGGGTTTCCATCCCATGGCCAAAGAATTAGTGATTTTTCTATCAGTCCTGTGATAATTATCGAATGGTTAACAATGTTGTAACCAGCCTTGAGCCGTGAAGAGAGGCAGGTAAGAAATAAGGTGAAGAAGAAGAAGAAGAAGTTGTTTCCTTTAATAATAATTTAATTCAAACCTATAAGACAGTGGACACAATTTCAACAACACAAAAGGTCAATCCTTATACTCTGGATAATGTCAGAAAACAGAGATAACTGAATTTGGAATACATACATTTGGGAATCTTCTAGGCAGATTTAGGAAGATGGATTAAAAGAAATACATTCCTGAGGAATGCCATGTTAAGTCATGCTACCAAATGGTAAAACCTGCCTACTGATCATTTTCAATGTATATATTTCAGTATTTCAAAGTATTTGTTAATACATAAAGGATATGTATATAATACAGCATGCACCATACCTGAAACAAATCATCTTTCTTCCCAAATGCAAGATGATTCTGTGGAGTACCTTCTTTGACTGCTAACTCCAAATGTGTATACAGAGGCCACAGGCGATCGTTACAGTGGAGAACATAGTCATGAAATGAATCTTCACTGCTTGACACCAGATATAGATTTGTCAGTTCTGTATTGCTGTAGCCTTAAATGATATTTTTTTAAAATTATAATATGCTCTTAAAAGTGTTTTTTCAACAAGTTCAATGAATGCTGCCAACTGGTAAAGACTAAAGGCCCTATTTACCTTCAAAGATCAAATCAGTTTTACATATAATTTAAATCTCCCCCTTTCCTACAGCTAAGGACCCCTATGTTTAAAAATAAAAAATGAGCTCATAATAAAAGTTGCATAATTTACAACACAGTAAGTTAGTTACCAGGTTATGCTGCTGTTGAATTTGAAACTGTTTCTAAACTCATATCAAATTCATATTAATAATAATAAAATTTCACTCTTTTCCATTTTTGATGAATTTTTCTTTTCAGTGATATGATGCTGTAGTAAACAATCCAATTGCTTTAATACGTTACTGAAATTTTGTTCACTTTACCCACTTTGCCCCTGTAATTGTTGTAAAATAAAAAACATATCACCTTGATAATTCTTTTCCAACAGGTCAAAAGAAGCACATGCATCAAGTAATCTTTCTGCGCCACACAGAGAGACATTACATTGTTTTGCAACATCCACTGGGGTCATGTTGCCTTTCTCTTTGAGAAGATCAAATATTTTCAGCTTGCAGGCTACAAACAAAGCCTGTAAGTACAAAAGACATATTCATTACTGAAAGAGTGTCAAAATACAACAAATTAAGCTGATTTTCAAATGACTTCATTCTGTTGATAACTACTTTGATCTCATCTTTTTGAAGTTCACCTGCTTAATTGTTTTAACCATGGAACTCAAGGAAATATGGCCAGAGGGCAATAATATGAATCTGGCTATAAAATCTGCAACTCTAAAAACACAGGCATCATGATTTAAGCTATATAAAACAAAACAGTCACTGCCTTCCTCCTGTAAAAGAAGACAAAATATCAGTGTATTTAAGGCCTCTGACTCTGTGTTCTTCCTTAAATAATGGCATATATGCCAGACTATGCACTATAGAAACACCATGAGGTTTTATAGAATCATATGCTCCCCCCAACAAAACAAAACAAAAAAAAAACACCAAAGAAAATGTTACCTTTGATGCTCTGAAACCATCCAGGAGATGCATAAGTTGAGAAGGGAAATTGATTCCATTTTCTGCTACTCCATTCTGACTTTCCACGGGCAAACTGCAAGTATGACTGCTGCTTGTACTTTTCCCCAGGCTGCTTTTTGGCTTTTTTGTATCTTCACATTGTACATTATCTGAAGAGGCACATTCCCCATCACTTAGGATCTCAAAAGTCTCTACTGAAGGGATAGAGTCATGCTTTATATGATGAATGGTGTGTTTCAGGGGAGGGTAATATAATTCTGCCAATTTTTTGCAGAAGTGATTCAAAGGAAATCCTACCACATTCAAGAAATCTCCATGAACATATTCCACTAACATTCCCCCAAGTGCCTGGATCCCATAGCCACCAGCTTTGTCCCTAAAAACAAACAACAAATATTTAAATAGTAACATAGTAGTTGTTAAATAAGGTGAAATTTTGAGTATCTTTATTTTAACACCTTGGTACATCATTTTACATTCTTAAAAATCATGTGACCAAGAAGCAAAGCAGCTTACACTAGGAGTTTACATCAGCACAGAAGAATGTAACCTGCCCCCCCCCCCCCCCGGCTTCACCTTTTTAACAACTGGCCTCATTGCTACAATACAAAGTACAGTTATCCCTCAACATTTGTGGTTTTGACTTTTGCAGATTTGGTTTAAAATACTCTCTAGTTATTGCTAGGACAGCCAGCATTACTCTATGTTCAATGTCCCCTAGTAATGCAGGAGGAAGTAGATTTCTAAGGAGAACCTCCTGCTAGGAATCTCTAGGTCCTCCAGTGCGATTCTGTGGTCAGCCACCGGTACTCCTGCTGGAAGACATAGACATTCTTAGATAAATGTTCTCCCTTTATGCGTTTTTCACTTTCACAGGGGACCTGTGCCCCTAACCCCAAACCAACCAAATTTTCAAAATACAATTCTAGAACACAAATTGTATTTTGAAAGTTTGGTTGGTTCCAAATGGGTTCCCATTAAGCCTGAGGACCTTTTATGTGAGAAAAACTAAAACTTGCTTTTGATTTTGTTGTGATATTGCCTATTGTAAACTGTTTTTATGTGTTGTACACCGCCGTGAGTCGCCCTAGAGCTGAGAACGGCGGTCAACAAATGCAGTAAATAAGTAAAATAATAAATAATTGATCATGGAGGTTTTTTCAATCTTATTGATCTGTGTCTACAGGCAAATGGACATCTGTATATGCAAAGCTTTATGTAACATTAGGGCTACAGCTTAAAATTATGGCTATAAAGTGACCAGCATGCCAGAAAAACAGGAGTCATATGGCATTCACACACATATATACTCTGTTTGTTAGGCTTAAGGGTGGCCTTGAATTCTACTTCAGCATAGTGATGCTGTTTTGCTAATGTATGAACTGCATACCTGGAAAACAAGTGGGGGGAATAGGAATAGAAATGATTTAACCATCTCTCTCCAGGAAAAAAAAACGTCATGGTTAAGAGGGCATGGTAATCATGTTTAAATATTTGAAAGGATGTCATATTGAGGATCAATATTGGTATTCTGCTGTTGTAGAGAACAGGGCACAGAGCAATGCATTCAAAGTGCAGGAAGAGAGATTTTAATTAAACATTATGAAAAGAGCTCTGACAGTAAGAGCTGTTCTGCAGTGAAATATGTTGCCTGGAAAAAAAAAAGGGGGGGGGGTATAGAGTGTCCTCTGGAGGTTTTTAAATGGGGACTGGGTGGCCATCTGTCAAGAGTGCTTTGATTATGTTTTCCTGCATGGCAGGGGCTGGGCTGGGTAGCCCTCTTCCAACTCTATGATTCTACTGATATACTTTGATTTACAAATGCTTACTGAATTTATTCTCAATTCACTAAACATGAACACACAGTATAAAATGTGAGTTGTACCAGGAAAGTACTGAATGTTAGAAGCCTAGATATATGCACCTTTGCAGCAGCCTTCAGTTTTCCTTCCAATGTGGATAAATTTCTCTATCCTAATCAAGAACTAATGTAGGGCATTTAATGTGCCAGATGCTGTTGAGACTAATTTCTAAACCCAGAATGCTTGCTATTTCTCTAGGTCATACATTTTACAGCAGGCCAATTTTGGCTCTGGTTTTGAGGTCTGTGAACTTTTGATCTTTCTGAAGCACATATTTAATTATGGGTGAGCTACAAAACCTGACAGTAAGAGAAACTGCTAAATCCACTGTCAATCCTTCCACTTACTGTGCGGGGAAGCATTATTTTATTAGTTTTGCCTTTTATGAGAGTGGCATACTTTCTATTTAAACAACCCCACATTTGCCACACTGATCCCATTATTTTACTCTAAAAGACAAAACTTGGGAATTTGCCTCTCAAATCTGAGCAATGAAAATAAATCTATTTTCACATCAGCAGAAGCCTACACTTAAATGTAGTTGGCAGCCACAGGCATCTCTTTCTTGTTCTTTCAAATAGGAAAAACATCAAGGTATGAGATCCAAATGTAGGAGTTCCCTTACAAAAAGGAGCTGCCTGTGGCTGTGATCTCCAAAAATGCAGGAAAACATGAAGCATGTGACAGAACGTCGGAAGACAGCCAGAAGGAGGTATGTGTTATCAGAATCTCTGGCATGCAGATAATTTACTTAAACACAAAACTTTTCAAAGCAGTTTATAGAATAAAAATATTTATGACACTACATAACAATACCTGTTTCAGATTTTTTAAAAACCCTTAATATTACACACAAACACACATTACTAAAACATATATATTAAAATACAATTTAAGCTCAAAAATAAATAAATACAGGCATACTACAGTTAACAAAGTTAACAAGCTCCTTGTTGAATCTGTTAAGCCAGATCAATTTTTCATCCTTGTCCTCTATTTGGCTGAATTTTCTTTTAGCTGCACTGGCATTGGAAGGCATTAGAATGGTGAAGGAGGGTTGCAGCAAGATATCTGAAGGAAACAATGCAATAAAGTAGAATTGGGACAGAATGGGATTCTATCCTAGCCATTCCTACTGTACTTGTGTGTTTCTGCCCACAAGAGATAAAGTGAACAGTCACTGCTTCCTACAGTACGAATGAGTTCACTATGCTATGTCCTCCATGTAGTATGTACACCATATTGACATACATGTAGTGTGTACACATAACTGTTTTTCTTCATGCTGCACGTTTTGTAGACTTATTTGGTCACAATGTAAATCATTCACATTTCAACTACTGTACTTACATTGGCTCACCACTGTGAATATATTCCCACAAGAGTTCCTCAGAGAGTTCAGCAAATTTAACTTTAGTTTCTTCATAGAATTCAGTGACTTCAGTCTCCAGCTGATTATCTGGAAAATTTAAATTCTGGGTAAATGTTTTGGAAGCCAACATGGGTCCCTAAGTACAGAATTTGCTCTAGTGCTGCAAGGATCACCTGGAATAATTAATGATTCCTAAATACGAATTACTAGTACCCATATCTATTATTTTGTAGGTCTGTTTCTTATCTTTTTGAGAAACTTGCGAAGTGTGGCTTAGAAGCACTTAATTAGAAAGCTTAAGTTCCATGCCTCAACAAACAGGAAGCAAAGGTGTGATATTGTTTTAGTCCATATTCCAACTGCTAAATCTGAAATCTAAATATTTAATAAACAAATACATATGATTACAAACCTCACAAATTACAGGCAGCAATAATATATATGAATTCATGCACTTGGAATAGTAAAGCACTCAGAGGGTCATCAGTCCTTAATTTTAAAGACAGAGGACTTCTAGTTTTACCTAGAAATGAGTCTATATTTCCAGAACAAAATGCTAGATTTGCTCATTTATAATAAAACTATTATACTAGTAGGGCATTTAGGTGCAATGCATTGAGAATCAGGTTTTTTTCTCCTTGCCGCTCCTGCCAAGAATACTCTGCCTTTTATCTGCAGTGCAGTTCTTTCTTAACATTCTAGTGGAAGCAGCAAAATGCAGTGATCAGAGAAGATGCAGTACAGAACTTTATGATTTTAACTGGAGAGAAACATGTTGCAATTATTCCACAGTAAGGGGTCACCATAGGTTTTCAATTTGAAAAGAACAAGATACTTTTATTCCTTGACATAAGGAAACATTGTGCTGTGAATTTTGGATAGGATGTTGAAGAGCTATTTTGAGATAGAGGCAGTCCCCAAATTATGAATAGGATAGGTTCTGTAGCTGTGTTCTTTAGCTGAATTTGTATGTAAGACAGAATGGGTACATTTTAAGTATGACGCCATCCATCCATCCATCCATCCATCTATCTATGCAAGCTTTGGATAGCATAGGAAAGGGTTAACATCCCTGTAATGTTGGTTTTGCTGCCTGTGACCCTGTTCAGAAAATTTCACCTCAGTTTCTGTCCCTGTGGGAATTGGATTTTGAAAAAAATTGGGTTGCTGTAGAAACAAGAATTTGGGATAAAGCTCCAGTTGAGACCCCTTTCCCCCTATTAAAACTCTTTCAGGAGTGAATTTCCCTTCCTAGGAGTAGATTTCTCTCACTTCCTGTTGTCTCACCCCCATTTGTGACTACAAGTCATTTGTAAGTTGGATGTTTGTAACTCAGAGACTGCATGTACTGGAGTCCATCCCTGTAATTTGATTAGTATCCAGACTGCAATGGTATACACTTGCCAGGGAACCAGTTCAGTGGGATTTCTGAAAATCTTTTTTTTTAATTGTAAAAAAAATTCTGTATGGTAAAAGTAGCACACTGCATGAAGACAGTTTCAATAGGAACAGTAAGCTTCAGGTTAGTGTAAAAGATAATGGTTCTAACTGATTACATAGTTTCTGACTTCTGTATTTCAACTACTATAACATTTCTAAGGACTAAGCCTGGATCTACACTGCCCTATATTCCAGGATCTGATCTCAGATTATCTTATTAAATAAAAGTATTCTTGCCTGTGTTTAACTTAATTTTACTCTCTATGAGCATGCAAAAGTTAATCAGTAACAGGCAGAAAGATATCTGGGAGAAAATATGTTGCTGATGTAAAATTTCTGGAAAGATAAAACAGATCAAGCTTGTCTGTGTTTTGAATACCTATGCAAGTAAAATTATCAAATCATGCCACAACCAATAAAACAGCAAAATTATTTTGTTGCTGATATAGACATAACACTGTGGCACCCACTGTCATACTGTCTCATACTTGGTGTCACAAACTTCTCAAGAAGCTATTGAGGTACCATTACATGAAATCTTTTATCAACTTCAGAATGAACAAGAAACATGGCATCTGATCTTAAAGCTGATCTTAAAGCTGAGCCCTTGGAGAAAAAGTGCAGCATGAGAAACAAGCTAAAGTCCTAGAATTGATGATAATGATAATGAGCAAAGGAGAAATCACTGATGGTGTCAGAAGAAAATTGCTACCTGCAAAATGTCTATCTCCTCAATGTACAGTTTTGGAGAGGGGTACTCCTAAAAATGAGATATACCCCAAGAGTGGTGTTGGACAACCCTCAGTATGTTGACACAAGTGGTTGTCCATCTCTCCTCTCCTCCCCAGAGCACCCAGTTTGAAGAAACCATTCATTGGAGGAATAGCATCTTGGAGGAGGATGACTTTCCCTACTATTACCATATCCTTTTCAGGTGTAACTAGAGAAACTGCAAATGTTTGTGTCAATGAGCCATTACATGTGTATCAATAGCATTTCAGCACAAGATGGTTACACAGTCAACAATGTGACATGGATTTTTATACTGGTTCTTACCAATTACCTTTACTGCTGCAGTGAACTATTGCAACACCTGTGAAGACACTGTGCTCCTTTCCACTCAATCTGTTAAAGAAAGCAGATATAACAGTTGCAACTATTTTGCTGTAAGTACTAATTTATGAATAATTTATGAGATGATTATGATTATGCAATAATTTATTTTCTAAATCCAGTGTAAAAACTGCACATTATGATATCTGAACCTACAGATACAAACTACGATATTAGCATCAGAAGTTTTAAAATTGCAGACCTTGAAAGCATCTTATATGCATCTTGTTTGTCCACTGGTTTCTCCAAAATCTGGTCTTCTATTGTCTGAAATTAAAATAGAAATATTTTGCTATATACATCTCATTACAGTGGAATTAGTATCTAATTATAAATATATGTTTAAAACATTAAAGAACTGTGACCATAGGGATTCTGAATGATATATCATTTTCTGTTCTCCATGAGAAATCCTGATTGTACACAAAACCTATTTTTCACCTTAACATTTTATTCATTTATTCAGTGAAAGATAAAACGCACAGACTACTCCTATCTTTCATGGGAGTTAGAGCACAGGATCCCCATGAAATTGGAAAAAGGGAAATATAGGCCTGGAGAAACAAGACTGGCCTTTGGAGCTTTTTGTATATATAAATTCCTGCCTATAGGAGCAAGTGCGAGGAGCAACCCCAACATATAGGATGTCAAACCCTCATTTGCTGGGAATTAGAAATTTGGTGTGTATGTATGCATTTTTTCCTCAACAAGGTCCTAAAATTGCACTTTGTTTTTGAATGAATGCTAAATATTACTATACGTTAAATCTACATGATAGTACATGCTAAGACTCACCACAATAGTGTCGGCTCCTATAACAACATCTGGTGTTCGAAGATGTTTCTGAAAAATATGGGAGTACATTTGATTAGTTTATCCACATCACTAATGAGCCCCAATAGAATAAAGATACTAAAATTCTGATACCAAATCAAAGAACAGGATGGCCACTACACTAGCAAAATAATAATAATAAAAAACAGCTTAAGACTGCATATGTCAGCAGTAGAACCATCCTGAGCCTGGTCTAGAAGTATTAAATTGTTGAGAATGAGTGTAGATAGTTGTAGGATCACACTGACATCACATTGGCAACGAAGACCCGCATAGTAAAAACAATGGTATTCCCTGTAGTCACCTACGGATGTGAGTGCTGGACTATAGGGAAGGCTGAGCGAAGGAAGATAGATGCTTTTGAATTGTGGTGCTGGAGGAAAGTTCTGAGAGTGCCTTGGACTGTAAGAAGACTGTAAGAAGATCCAACCAGTCCATACTTCAGGAAATAAAGTCCAACTGCTCATTGGAGGGGAGGATATTAGAGGCAAAGATGAAGTATTCTGGCCACATAATGAGAAGACAGGAAAGCTTAGAGAAGACAATGATGCTGGGGAAAATGGAAGGAAAAAGGAAGAGGGGCCGACCAAGGGCAAGATGGATAGATGGCATCCTTGTAGTGACTGGCTTGACCTTGAAGGAGATGGGGGTGGTGACAGCCGACAGGGAGTTCTGCCATGGGCTGGTTCATGAGGTCCCGAATAGCCAGAAGCGACTGAACAAATGAAGAACAACAACAAGTTGTAGGATACAAACTTAAAAGTTTACTAATGGCTTTGAATTTACATATGCATGTAGAACCTACACCCTAACTCACTAATGAAAAGATTAGGTAAAGTCTTCATTCCTAACTCATCACCTTTCAATGAAGGAGTAAATGTTAAGAGGAGGAGCAAAGAGAAGTTAAGAGGAGGAGCAAAGAGGGATCAGAACAGAAGAAAGACTGAACAGGAGGAAACATTATATAACCAAAGTCCTCGTGGAAGAGACCAGAAGCACATGGTCAATTTGTAAGGTTTATATGGTCCCTTCCACACAGCCTTATATCCCAGAATATCGAGTCAGAAAATCTCACAATATCTGTTTTGAACTGGGTCACACTCAGATAATGTGGGATTTTCTGCCTTGATATTCTTGGGCTGTGTGGAAGGGCCCTATGACTATGACCATTTTAAAGGATAATAACTTTGTGGGGTTTAGTTGAGAGAAATAAACAAGAAATCCTGTTCTATCTACAATTCCAGTTGCTATATCAGCAATTGGAAAGTAAGTGTGTGTGTGTGTGTGGGATGCTGGGATGTTAAACACAAATTAAGACAGGCTTACCACATGCATCCTTTTTGCCACTTCAAGTGCCTTTTGTTTTGCAGTTTCTACGGCATATTCATATGGAGCTGCAAAACACGACTTCTCCAGTGTCTCTTTGAACCAAGAGGGAACAACTTCGAATCGAAGACCCTGTTAAAGACAAAGAAGCAAAGTGACTTTGGACAAAATCTTGCCTGACAAATGCACACACAGGGGGCCCTCACATGGAAGCCGACTGCTGGAACAACTACTGAATAAGTTTAGAGCAATTCATAAACTCAGTTAAAACGCCCACCATTCTACGACAAATTGTCAGCATGGATCCTATGGAGCCAAGGTAGCCCCATCCACACAAAAAGGGGAGGGATCATCAGGTTATGAGAAATATACAACAGTGAAGCTGGAGCACGCTGAATAGTAATTTCTGTGATACAGGAAGTGTATCCTAAAGAAGGGCATGTCTGTTCTGGCATTCCTCATGCACTTACTATTCTGCTGATTAGTATTTGTGCCAAGAAGTGACATGAACCACAATTTAGGAGTTATTATTTTGGTGGGATGACCTTATTACATAGTTTTCTACGTAAGGAAAGGGGTGTGTTTCTCAGGCTATGAAAGTATGGCTTGCCCAAGGTCACCCAGTGTTTTTTCAGGCTGAGTGGAGATCCAAAACCTAGCCTTTTCAAGTCCTAGTCCACATGATGGCCCTCCAAACTTTTGCATGGTTTCCCTAGTTCATGTGTTCAATGGTCATAGTGCCTGGGATCATCCCAGGCATTAAACATTGGGAAAAAATCCTTTTTTTGTTTTCTTGTTTTTAATGTCAAAAAGAATGAAGGATCTCTGCAACTTTTTTAAAAAGATGAGCTGCTTCTGAAGGCACCAGGAGCACCAATACATAGTCCTCCCCTGCTCGGGAAGGAGCCCAGGGTTCCAAAAAGCCATGTGAGCCCTCATTTCACCCAAGGCTGTACTTTGTCCTTTCCTGCAACAGAATCTTCTCACAGCATTGCAACATATATGTATCTTGGACAGAGTAAAATAATTTATGCCAGGACTTGCGTTGCATTACATAGGCAAACACATTGCTTTCTCTTTTGTTCTCTAATGCTATACCAGTAAATATGTTTTAAAAATGTCCCAAGTTGTTCAAATTAAAAACAAGGCATTTCAAGTCCCGTCCTCCTCTGAACACTAGAGAAAGATTTCCTCCACTATAAAAAAATTCCATAGCCCTGTTATATTAATATTTGGGAGCAAATTCCATTAATTCCAAGGCATAGCTGCGTTCGTCTGGAATACCAGCATGCAAGCAGATCTTGTAGCACCTTAAAGAGTTCATATGATATGCTTTCTTTCATAGTCTAACTGTCTAAAGAAGTAGTTTGTGGGCACACCTGCACTTTAGAATTAATGCAAGTTCACATCGTTTTAACTGTCACATCTCAATACTGTGGAATCCTGGGGTTTATCTGGTTTTTGTTTTATTTTTATTTTATTTTTTTGGTGTCAGGAACAACTTGAGAAACTGCAAGGCGCTTCTGGTGTGAGAATATTGGCCATCTGCAAAGGTGTTGCCCAGGGGATGCCCAAATGTTTTACCATCCTTTGGGAGGCTCCTCTCATGTCCCCCGCATGAGAAGCTGTAGCTGACAGTTAAACCCTTGTGCCAACAGGACTGCTAACTGACAGATCAGCAGTTTGAATCCAGGGAGAGCGGGTTGAGCTCCCTCTGTCAGCTCCAGCTCCCCATTCAGGGACATGAAAGAAGCTTCCCACAAGGGTGGTAAAGCATCAAAACATCTGGGCGTCCCCTGGGCAATGTCCTTGCAGACGGCCAAGTATCTCACATCAGAAGAGACTTGCTGTTTCTCAAGTCACTCCTGAAACGGGAAAAAAACCCACTTCCCACTCTACGTTAATCCCAGCGGAGCATTTTTCAAGACTCAGTTTTCTTATTACATGGTCAGTTTTTTAACCAGTTTGACAGTAACCAGTAACTTGCCACAGGTAGGTGATACATTATAAATGGAAGAGGCAGCACTTTGTTCTTGTTTGTACAGATATAATTCCAGGTGTTGCAGGGACATTTGGAAAGCACTCATGATTTAGGGCTTTGGTGCCAAAACAAACTTGGAAAAGAAAAAAAAGAGTTCTAGAAAAGTACTAAGATCTTGGTATATTACTGGTTTACAAACTATAGTAATAATAGTAACAGTAAAGGTAAAGGTTTCCCCTGACATTAAGTATTATTATTATTATTATTATTATTATTATTATTATTAATACTTTATTTATATTCCCCTCTATCTCCCTGGAGGGACTCAGGGTGGATTCCAAACATAAAAGGCAAACATTCAATGCCCAAATACATTAACAATACATCCCTACTAACAAAATTTACCAACATAAAAATACGAATTATGACTGAACAACTAAAATTAAATAAAAAACGCAGCCTGTTATAAAGGACATAAGAAAAATCATCAAACAGTTTAGTTGTGTCCTACTCTGGGGGTTGGTGCTCATCTCCATTTCTAAATTGAAGAGCCGGTGTTGTCTTTAGACACCTCCAAGGTCATGTGGCCAGCATGACTGCATGGAGCGCCGTGACCTTCCCACAGAAACTGTACCTACTGATCTATATAAATAAAAATGTAATGTTCATTTGTGGGATTAACAACTCAAAACCACTGGACAAATTGACACGAAATTTGGATACAATACACCTACCAGGCCAACGAGTAACCATCACTCATAAAAACACTGAAAAACACAGCAGAAGGGACTTAAAAGGTCAAAAAAGCAAAAAGACGCTAGAGTGCATGCGCAAAAAAAACTCCCCCTGGCAAACAAAACACACAATAGCATATCCACACTCTCTTCCAGACTACAGCTCCCAGTATCCCCTAGACTGGGCCCTTTAGGAGAGGAAGACGATCCAAATGCACTGCTTCCAAGATGCAAGGTTTCTTCTCTTTGGATTTCTTTGAGAGCATCCCAATCCCTACATATTTCCAATTTCCTATTCCTGGACTGCAACTTCCAGTAATCCTCCAGATAGATAAGATATATAGATAGATTAGTTAGAGATAGATAGGTAGGTAGGTAGATTGATCAGGAGGACTGTTGGGAGTTGCAGTCCAAGAATAGGTAGAGAAGGAAGAAAGGAGAGAAAGAGGAAGGAAAAGAAAAGGTGCAAAGGATAGAGGAAGAGAAGGAAGGAAGGAGAGAATGAAAGAAAAAGGGAAGGAAGGGAGGAAAGAAAGAGAAAGAAAGGAGAGAAAGAGGGAGGGAAGGTTGGCCACAGTAACGCGAGGTGGGTACAGCTAGTCTATAATAATAATAACTTTATTTTTATACCCCGCCTCCACTCCCTGGAGGGACTCGGGGCGGCTTACCTGAGGACGAGCCCGAACATAGTTAGGTGATAGTATGATAGCTGGGTCCGGAAGCTCTTAGCATTAAGGAGATGCCGCAAAGGCGGTTGTGAATAAGGACATCCGTAGGGATACCAAGGTGCTTGTCTATAAAGCTATTGTCCTCCCAACCCTGCTATACGCCTGCGAAACGTGGACTGTCTACAGACGTCACATGCAACTCCTGGAACGATTCCATCAGCGCTGCCTCCGGAAAATCCTGCAAATCTCTTGGGAAGACAAGTGGACAAACGTCAGTGTGCTGGAAGAAGCAAAGACCACCAGCATTGAAGCGATGGTCCTCTGCCATCAACTCCGCTGGGCTGACCACGTTGTCCGGATGCCTGACCACCGTCTCCCAAAGCAGTTGCTCTACTCTGAACTTAAGAACGGAAAACGGAACGTTGCTGGACAGGAAAAGAGATTTAAATGGCCTCAAAGCCAACCTTAAAATCTCTGGCATAGACACTGAGAACTGGGAAGCCCTGGCCCTTGAGCGCTTCAGCTGGAGGTCAGCTGTGACCAGCAGTGCTGCAGGATTCGAGGAGGCATGAGTGGAGGGTGAAAGAGAGAAACGTGCCAGGAGGAAGGCGCGTCAAGCCAACCCTGACCGGGACCGCCTTCCACCTGGAAACCAATGCCTTCACTGTGGGAGAAGATGCGGGTCAAGAATAGGGCTCCACAGCCACCTACGAATCCACAAGGAAACCCATCATGGAAGACCATCTTACTCGTCCAATGAGGGATCGCCTAAGTAAGTGTGAATAAGGGAAGAGAGGGGTGGAGTGAGAGTGAAGAAAGGATAGAAAGGAGGGGACACTTAGGGTAAAGGTTAGGGTTTGAGTTGCGGTTAGGGTAAGGGTTAGGGGTTACAGTTAGGGTACGGTCTAGGGTTAGGTTAAGGTTTAGGGTTTGGGTTAGGGTAAGGGGTTAGGCTTAAGCTTACAGTATGGTTCAGGGTTAGGGCAAGGGTTACGGTTAGGGTAAGGGTTAGGGGTTACAGTTAGGATACGGTTTAGGGTTAGGGTTAGTGTATGGGTTAGGGTTAGGGTTACAGTAAGGTTTAGGGTTAGGGCTTCACTATTAAAGAACTCCTACATTCCTTCTATATTATCTGTTTCCGGCCTGGCTTACATTAGCGAAGTCTCTCTTGCGCAAACAGCACTCCTGATAGAGTGATGCGGCATCTCCGTAACGCTCGGAGCTTCTGGACCCAGCTATCATACTATCACCCATAGTTAAAATATAACACACCAAAAATATATCTACTCACATTTGCATGTTTTCGAACTGCTAGGTTGGCAGAAGCTGAGGCTAACAGCGGGAGCTCATCCCGCTCCCTGGATTCGAACTGCCAACCTTTGGTCAGCAAGTTCAGCAGCTCAGCAGTTTAACCCGCTGCAACACCAGAGTGCCTAAGAATAGTAATAAGTGCATAGAAAATCCCCTAAGTCTACGCACAAGTCTCAAGCAGGGCCTTACCACGTTGGTGAGGATCTCCTGCCTGCGAGGGGAGGCGCTGGCCAGCACCACTCGCTTGTGGAGCAGCTTCCCGATGACGGGGTTGAGCAGCACCATGGCGGCCCCGCAGCAGCTGATCCTGCCCAGGAGGGCGAAGCGAAGCCCAGAGCAGGAGGCAGCCCGGCCAGAGAAGCTTTATGGCGGCGCSCTGGGCAAGCGAAGAAGGGGAGGCAGAGCCAGAGCCCAGCTCCTCCTCCTCCTCCTCCTCCTCCTCCTCCTCCTCCCCTTGGGCTTCAGCCAGGTTGAGCGGAGAGAGAGCAGCAGGACGCGGAAGCATGCGCCTTGCTTCCCTCCTCGGTCTTTGAGGAAAGGAGGGAAGAGAGATGGAAGGAAAAAAAGGGAAGGAGGGAAGCCAAGGAGGAAAAGAAGGTGGGGAGGAAGGGAAGAGAGAAGGAAAGAGATTAAAAACAGAAGAGAGAAGAGGAAAGGAAAGACAGGAGGAAAGGAAGGAATGTAAAAAASAAAACACAAAAGGAGGGGGTGGGGGAAAAGTGTTGACTCTTGTTGACTTAAGTCAGGCATGGGCAAACTTGGGCCCTCCAGGTGTTTTGGACTTCAACTCCCACAACACCTGTTAGGAATTGTGGGAGTTGAAGTCCAAAACACCTGGAGGACCCAAGTTTGCTCATGCCTGACTTGGGGTTACTCCAGCCCCATCAACACTGTCATATAAAATCCACATTATCTGCGCTGAACTGGATTATATCAGTCTACACACTGCCATATAATCCAGTTTAAATAAAATAATCTGGATTTTATATGCCCTTGTACAAGGGGCCTCCATGAATTTCCTAGGCTGCTTCTACATCAGGCATGGGCAAACTTCGGCCCTCCAAACTTCGGACTAGAACTCCCACAATGGCTGTTAGGAATTGTGGGAGTTGTAGTCCAAACACCTGGAGGGACTAAGTTTGCCCATTGTAGAATTAATGCAGTTTCACACCATCACAATATCATAAGATGGACCTGCAACAGGGTTGTCTTGGCAGATTGTTCAGAGGGACTTTGATGTGTCCTAGTCCCACATTCAAACCACTGGAGCCCCCAGTGGTGCAATGGGTTAAACCCTTGTGCCAGCAGGACTGCTGACCAAAGGGTTGGAAGTTCAAATTCGGGAGTGGGGTCAGCTCCCATCTGTTAGCTCCAGCTTCTCATGCAGAGACGAGAGAAGCCTCCCACAGGATGGTAAAACATCCAGGTGTCCCCTGGGCAACGTCCTTGAAGACGGCCAATTCTCTCACACCAGAAGCGACTTGCAATTTCTCAAGTCATTCCTGATTGGGAAAAAAGAATTCAAACCACTACACCATGCTGGCTCTCCAAGTGAACCCTAGAAATTATAGACTGTATGTGTTGACATAGCCGCCAGAATATAAAAGCCAGGATCCAGCATGGTGTAATGCAGGGGTCCTTAAACTTTTTCAACAGAGAGCCAGATCACAGTCCCTCAAACTGCTGGAGAGTTGGATTATAATTTGGAAAAAAAAGTGAATGAAGTCCTATGCACACTGTACATATCTTATTTGTAATGCAAAAAACACTTTAAAACAATGCAATAATTAAAATGAATTACAATTTTAACAAATATAAACTTATTAGTTTTTCAATGGGAAGTGTGGACCTGCTTTTGGCCGATGAGATAGAATTGTTGTTGTTGTTGTGTGCTTTCAAGTCGTTTCAGGTTTAGGTTGACCCTGAGTGAGGCCTGGGTAAATGACCTTGGAGGGGTCCCAGGCTTTAGTTTGAGGGCCCCTGGTATAATGGTTGTGTCCATTTTATGTGGACCTGACTGTCAAACAGGACACTGGGAGATCAGGACACTGGAACAGGACACTGGGAGACCAGAGGGTTCAAATCCCCGCTTAGCGCAGGAAATCCACTGGCTTTGGAAAGCAAAAACAAACTCCCTCTGAATAAATTCGGTCAAAAAAAAAAATCCCATGATTCACCATGGGGTCACAATTTCTCCAAAATTAGGCGCAAGACAATAAAACACAAGTTGTCTTTGATTTATTAGTTTGACAGTCAGATCCACACAAAATGGTCATTTCATTCTTGATATCTTTACAAAAGCATCTTTTAATAGCTTGTTAACAATTAATGTGCTGAAAAATGTGAGGAAATTAATTAATCAATTGCCATTGAAAGTTAAATGCCATAGCTAAAAACCTCAGAAAGGAGCTTTAAAAATATGTATGATTTTTTTTCACCAGCTTCCTATTTTTAGTTTTGGAGATATACATGAATTTCTGGGAAAAGCACAAATGTATGGAAAATAAATGCATGCATTTATGTGAAAACCATTTCTCATCCATGTCACCAGACCCCTTATTGATGCCAGCAAAGGTGCTCAGTGATGACCCAAAGCACTCCAGAGCTTTCCAGCCGTCTCCTACAGTGACTTCAAACATTATCTTCAGGTTGCATTTTGCCACTATGGTTGATTTCATGTTCTTTGTTACCTTTAGTTATTTTCACTGACAACAACAGGGAAACTCATTATATCATCAGAATAAAATAAAGGTGGTGGGAATAATTTCCTGAATTGGGTTGCTGTGAGTTTTTTGGGCTGTATGGCCATGTTCCAGAAGCATTCTCTCCTGGCATTTCACCCACATCTATGGCAGGCATTCTCGGAGGTTGTGAGGTTTGTTGGAAACTAGGCAAGTGAGGTTTATATATCTGTGGAATGTCAAGGGTGAGAGAAAGAACTCTTGTCTGTTTGAGGCAAGTTTGCATGCTGCAATTGATCACCTTGATTAGCACTGAATGGTCTTGCAGTTTCAAGGCTTGGCTGCTTCCTGCCTGGGGGCATCCCTTGTTGGGAGGCGATTAGCTGGCCCTGATTGTTCATTTAAACTGCAAGGCTAATCAAGGTGATCAATTGCAGCATTCACACTTCCATTAAGCAGACAGGAGTTCTTTCTCCCAACCTGGACATTCCACAGATACATAAACCCTACTTGCCTTGCCAGCTTGTGACTATATCCTCGGATTGCATGATTTTAATAATGTGTTTTAATGTTTATATAGCTTTTAATTTTTTGTGTTAATGTATATGTTTATTTTATTGTTTGTTGATATGACATCGAATCACTGCCGATTGCAAGGCCACTCTGAGTCCCTTTTGGGGTGAGAAGGGCAGGATATAAATACAGTAAATAAATACATAAGCAGCAAGAAATGCCATAAAACAATTTTGCAAAGGAAAGGGCACTGGAGATCATATTAGAGGCATATTTGTGACCAATTTAAGGTGAAATCAGGCATCAAACAGGGATGTGATATTGCCCCAACTTTATTCTCCATCTTCATCGCTATGATAGTTCACCTTGTTGATGGGAAGCTTCCCACCGGAGTGGAAATAATCTATCGGACAGATGGCAAGCTGTTTAACCTCAGTAGACTGAAAGCCAAAACCAAGGTTACAACATCTGTTATAGAACTCCAGTATGCTGATGACAATGTTGTCTGTGCGCATTCAGAAGAAGATCTACAAGCCACTCTAAACACCTTCGCAGAAGCATACGAGAAGCTCGGTCTGTCATTGAACATCGAGAAAACCAAAGTGCTGTTCCAGCAGTCACCAGCCAACCCCTCTCCAATGCCAGAGATACAGCTTAATGGTGTAACATTAGAAAATGTTGACCATTTCCTACCTTGGCAGCCACCTCTCCACCAAAGTCAACATCGACACCGAAATACAACACCGCCTGAGCTCTGCGAGTGCAGCATTTTCCCGAATGAAGCAGAGAGTGTTTGAGGACCAGGACATCCGTAGGGATACCAAGGTGCTTGTCTATAAAGCTATTGTCCTCCCAACCTTGCTATATGCCTGCGAAACGTGGACTGTCTACACATGCAACTCCTGGAATGATTCCATCAGCGCTGCCTCCAGAAAATCCTGCAAATCTCTTGGGAAGACAAGCGGACAAACGTCAGCATGCTGGAAGAAGCAAAGACCACCAGCATTGAAGCAATGGTCCTCCGCCATCAACTCCGCTGGACTGGCCACGTTGTCCGGATGCTCGACCACCACCTCCCAAAGCAATTGCTCTACTCCGAACTCAAGAACAGAAAATGGAATGTTGGTGGACAGGAAAAGAGATTTAAAGTTAGGCTCAAAGCCAACCTTAAAATCTCTGGCATAGACACTGAGAACTGGGGAGCCCTGGCCCTTGAGCGCTCCAACTGGAGGTCAGCTGTGACCAGCAGTGCTGCAGAATTTGAAGAGGCACGAATGGAGGGTGAAAGAGAGAAACGTGTCAGGAGGAAGGCGCGTCAAGCCAACCCCGACCAAGACCACCTTCCACCTGGAAACCAATGCCCTCACTGTGGGAGAAGATGCAGGTCAAGAATAGGGCTCCACAGCCACCTACGGATCCACAAGAATACTGATCATGGAAGACTATCCTACTCGTCCAATGAAGGATCACCTATGTAATGTAATGTAAGAGGCATATATCGACTAATAGAATATATCAAGGATTTTCAGAAGAAAATCAGCCAGTGCTTTATGAAAACTAAACAAGTTCAGTTTTACAATCCTGTGTGCCTTTATGAGCTCCCTGCAAATAACTTGCTCCTATTTTTATCTCATTAGAGTTTTTAACATTTTATTCTGTACATGTGGCCCACCCAATGTTATTGTGATTGTGTTTGTTGTAATGTTATTTTGTTACTGTATTCATATGTTTTTTTCTTATGTAATGTTGATGACGTTGCTTGTTGTTTATGTTTTGGTTTTATTTTGCTGTAATATGTTGTTCGGGTTTGGCCCCCTGTAAGCCGCTCTGAGTCCCCATTGGGGAGATGGTGGCGGGGTATAAATAAACTTTATTATTATTTTTATTTATTTTTTTATTAATATTAAATTTACAGTCTTTGCCTATTTGGAGCCTATTATGTAATTCTCCAAAAATATGGGTCTAGCACAACATTTATTGCCCTGATATGTAACTTATAGACAAGAAGGACACAATGCTAATATAAAGAACAAAAGAATGGGTCCTAATTGGCAAAGGTGTCAGATGCAGCTATATTTTATCCTATTTGTTTAATTTATACAAGAACATAAAACAGAAAGCAGAATTACAACAATCACGAACAAGAACAGTGCTATTCAAGAGAGAAACTGTGAAACAAAAGGCAATCCCAAATATGCTTGCACTGAAAACTTTTCTCCCTGCTAGAC